TTTGCTGATCAGGATGTAAGCTCTCAGCTACTGCCCCAGTACCGTGACTCCCTGCCTGTTGCCATGTTCCCTCTGGGAATATGAACGCTAACTCTCTAGAACCATCCCAAACTTTCTTTTCTAAGTTGTCTTCATCATCATGTTTTGTCACAGCAATCGGTAAGTTACTAAGACATTGACATCAGCATACCACCAACAACTGGTTAACTGAACTAAGAACTTCGTCCAACTATCTGCTGTCTCCTAGATACTCTATTCATGGGTAGACACCCACAGACAGATTCAAAGGATAGAGGGCAATCTATCAATAAAATGGATGCTGAAAAATAGGTTGGTGTGGCTATGAGCTATTCTGTTATCTGATAATGTCGACTTCAAATTCAAACTGTTATCTGATAATGTCGACTTCAAATTCAAACTAGTCAAAAGAGATAAAGATCATTACACAGTTTATCTTGGAAATATAACTACAAATAGTAAATGTCAGAGCTCTCAGTTTAACCAAACAATGACTGATAGGAACAAAAGGCCAGACAGTTACTGAGACATTATCAATGAATGACTTAACTCTCATATTCAGATAGGTCACCCAGATTTGAAATCAATTAAGGAACTTTAGAATCAGTCTATACCATAGGGTTGGAGGGATTACTCAATGGTTAAGAGCACTTCCTGTTCTTGCAGAGAAGCTGGGTTCAGTTCCTAGCACCCACATGATGGCTCATAGTCATCTGTAACTACAGTTCCAGGAGACTGACTCCCTCTGTGGGCATGGCATACATGCATGTGTTACATCTATACATGCAAGAAAAACACCCGTATTTGTGAAATAAAAATATTTTCTTAAAAAATAAGAGTATGTAAGTATGTAAGCCTAGAGATATGGCTCAGCAGTTAAACACATTTGCAAAGCCTGTACTGTCCTGGTACCAAAATCTTATAAATACACAATGAAAAACAATTATTAAAGCAATTTTCCTGATAAATTTAGAGGAAAAAAAATTCTCCAATATGTACTTTCACATCTCAAGAACACATTAAGATGATGGTGTATTTTGACCTACTTGGTTTCATTCCAGAGATGCAGAAATAACTCAATGTGTGCATATTAATAACTGTAAAGCAGCTAATGAAAAGACTTAATAGGTGGTGTAATTTAAAAATTCACCATGATCTCTGATAACCACTAATAACAAAACTTACATTCACAAAAAGAACAAAAAGTGAATTAACATGGTAGACTATCAAAAAAAAGATATCAAACATAAAGACAGTAATAGAACAGCTAAGGATATGACAACAGAAAACAGATCGATCAAAAACTGGCAGAAGCCCTTTCTCTTCCATGATCAAGTAATGTAAATGAACTAAACTTTTCAAATAAAAGAAATAGTTTGTCATAATGGACTTTAGAAAAAATGATCTAATTGTGTTCTGCCTATCAGAGAATCTTCTTGGTTCTAATATTGAAAATATGTTGAAAGTGAAAAACACACCACATACATAGTAACTAAAGGGAGCTTGCTTGCTATGTTAATTATCAGACAAAATAAAGTTAACATTGGGTCATAAACTGTTAAAATAGACAAGTATTTTACATACTGACAAAATGATCAACTCAACACAAAGGTAGAGGAATTATAAACACATTATTTATGGAGTTTTGCTGACTTCAAAACATAAAATAATTTTAACAGATTTGAAGAGGGAAAGGTAATTTTGCTAAAGTAGTTGGGAAATTCAATATCTCACTTTCAATACTTAAACTAGTCAATGAGCAACTCCAGAACATAAACAATATAACAAAAGAGATAGCTAACACAGCAAAGCCACTCTGTCAAACCACAGGAAATACACAATCTTCTCAGGGGCCACGTCCGTACACAGGGGTATATTTGGACACAGGGGTTATGTCCTTTGATAGTGGTATATTAGGACTGACAGCAAGCCTCTGTACATTAGTAAAGATCACGTCATCCCTAAGACAATGTGAGAAAACACTTTGAAATGGGTAAAACAAAACACAAAACACCAGAAAGCTGTGGGGTTGCAGTAGGAGCAACAGTGGAACAAAGTGTGTGACTACAGATATCTCTACTACAAGAGCAAAGCTCTAAATCAATCATCATTTGGTAATGCGCATACACACCTATAGATATGACAGGTATAGGAGAAAGTTCTAAGTAAATCATTTGGCAATGTATATACACACCTATATATATGACTTTAGATAGATAAAGGTTGTATCTTGAACATTGAATACTGGTTCTTTTTCTATGATGGTTGTATTTTTTTATATATATATATAATCTGTTGGCCCATTACTAGTTTCTTATTGGCTAGCTCTGTCTTAATTATTAACCCATTTCTGCTGATCTATGTATTTCTCTTACCGGGGAGCCGGCCGGCATACTGCTTTCTCCAGATTCTCCATCTTGACTCCTCCTTACTACTTCCTTTCTCCTCCTTGTCTCCTAGTCCCTCCTATCTTCCTTTCTTATTGGCCAACAGTGCTTTATTCATTAACCAGTATGAGAAACATATACAGAATGACATCTCCTACCATCTCCTCTTTTCTGTCTAAATAAAAAGAAGGCTTTTAACCTTAAAATAGCAAAATATATAACACAACAGTTATCAAAGAAGAATCACAGTTAACAATATTTAGTCCATTAACATTTAGCAAGACTAAAAGAAGCCATTCTATCATCTATCCTATATTTGTGAATCTAAAGTCCTACATGTAACTTATCTTTAAGCTTAACTAAGGAAAACTATAACCTTAACTATCTGTCTCCAACTCCATCAAAGACCACAGAAGGATAGTATATAAACTCTAGAAATGACAGAGACAACTCATTGCCTGGTTAGTCAACCGAAGTTCTTCTGTAATCTTCCATCTTCAGCCTATAGGCCATAGTATGTCTGGCGAACTCTTCAGTAAAGCAGGAAACTTAAAACTGTCTTCTTGTATTGGCAGTTTGTCAGTCACTTTTCTCTTTGTCCTGCAGACTGTCTGGCAGACTCTTCCATGAAGCAGGAACTCTGTAGCAATGTCCATCTTGAATCAGCAGTCACTTTTCTGTGGGTCCTGCATGTCCAGTTTATACAGCATAAAGTCAAACAGTCCAGACAAGAGCAGTATCTTGTCCAATTGGCTAGTCTTGCCATATTGAAAGCAAACTCTATAACGAGTTTCTTCAATGTCCATCTTCCTTTCTGACCCAGGTGGTGTTGCCAGGAACAATTATGTCTCATTGTCAAGAAAAACCCTAAACCATTTTAAATGTCATATTCTGTAGGTCTTTGAAAGGTTTGAAGAATGCCTATCTATCTCAAATATATATGATGGTTGTATTTAAATGGAAAAGCAGATATACAGACTGATTTTTTTTGAAATTGCAAGCTATAAGGAAGTATATCAATTACCTTATGCTAACATGGTGTCCATTTCTTCCATATGGTCTTAAATATGGCAGTTCATTTATAAATTTTTATTCAGCAAACAGTTTTTGTGCTGCTATTTTGTTTTAGATACTTGTTCATAAATGGTTTTATCTCAGTGTCTCTGGAATTCCTTCCCTCTCTGTTCCTGAATTTGGAGTCGAGTTCCCACTCCTTCCACAGATTGACCCAAACTATTGGCTTTTAAATTTTAAATCTCTAATTGTTTAATGCAATTAAACTTATGATAGTAGATTGTCTGACCTCACATATGCATTATTTAAGGTTTATTTCAGAGTAGGGATGCAAATCTTAAAACCTGGTTGCCACTGGCCACCACTGCCAAGTGTGAATTCTCTGTGGCATATGTCCACACTTTGTTTTCTTCCTTTCTGAAACTCTGGTTTGGCCTTCTCACCCTAACACAGATTTTGTCCTAAGACTACTTGGCAGTTTACCTTGAGAACCCATTCTTCCCATCAGCATTCCAGCCATAGATGATTATGACTCACATGCTAAACAGCATGGCTGTGACAAAGCTAAGTCAGACCCCAAAGCGGTATGGATTCACTTTAATGACAATAGTCTACCCTCTCAGATGCGGGACCCACATATTCTTCGGGGGGATGGATTGGTTATAAGTGGAACCTGAAAGTGGTAACTAGTCCCCACACTGCCTGAACCTGCCTAGAAAACAAAAGAAAACAGAATACAAGAAGACAAATAGCTCTAGGCACCAGTAAAAATCATGAGGCCTCATTGCTAGTCTGCTATTGAATATTAAAAATGTGTTATATATTTTATGGTGTGGAATATTTGTTTAATGCAAAGATGTGCTGCATTCTTTTCTGTTGGATTTGTTTAACTCTGCAAATCTGTGTTATTTTGCCTGTCTAAAACAGCTGGTTGGTCTAATAAAGAGCTAAACAGCCAATAGGTAGGCAGGAGAAAGAATGGGCAGGACTGGCATGTAGAGAGAAATCAGGGAAGAACAGGATTGAAGAGTGAGAAAAGGAGGGGAGGAAGATGCTAGGGGCCAGCTACCAGTGGGGCCACACAGCCAGCCATAGAGGAAGAGTGAAAGTATGACATACAGAAGAAAAAGAAAAATCCCAGAGGCCAAAGGTAGATAGAATAAGTTAAGAAAAGCTAGATAGCAACAAGCCAAGCTAAAACCAGGCATTCGTAAGTAAGAATAAAATTCCATGAGATTTATTCAGGAGCTGGGTGGCAGGTCCCCAAAGAGTAAAGAGGCAAAAGAATAAGAGTGAAAAATAAACCAACTACACTAGGCAATGATGGAGATTCCATGTTGCTTGTCTATGTGCTTCACCTCTTCTCAGGAGACAGTGTCTCAGCTCTTGTTCTCCCTGCAGTAGCCCATGGGCAGTCTTCCTTTTGAAAGTGATGGTTGTCCAGTCATCAGCCAGATAGCCACCCACCTACTCTGAGCCGCCTCAGCAGAGGCAGAACAAAGCCCAACAGAATCACAAGCTCAAGGAAGGTTGCCTAGACAACCCGGCCCAGACCCCACCCATGGTGCCTGGCAACTGAGGCCAGTCAGAGGTGCAGCAGAAAATGGATGAGCCTCCACAAGAGGCTCCAAATGGATCCCAGAACCATGAAGACACAGACCAATCCCCAAATAACCAGAAGAACTACATAGAAGGAGGAGAAGGCCAAGCTCCTCACAAAGGTTCTGAACACCATGGGGTTGGATCATCTGAGCAAACCAGTGACAAGGCATCCAACCAAGCTGCTAATGAAGGGTCTCAAGAGACTGACCAAAGAACTTCTGAAGAGGCTTCTCAGCCGTCTGAGTACAGAGCATCTCAGCTTGTTGACCGAAGGTCATCTGATCATACTGAGAGAAAAACTTTGGAGTCACCTAATCAGCAATTGCCAAGCCTACTTGAGGGAAAAGCCTCTGAGAAGCTAGATGACCGAGTGTCTTTGCTTTCTGGTGAGAAAGCTTCTGAGCAGACTGACCAAGGAACTTTGGAGCATAGTGACCAGACCTCATCAGACCAAGCTGAATATGGAAAGGGTCAACGCCTAGTCTACAATGAAGCTGATTTCCTGCCTGAAGATTACACTGATCAACATATGTTTAGTGAGGATGAGGAAATGGACTATGGTAGTGTGAGCCATAAAACAGAAAAACAGGCTGACTACCGCTCATACTACAAAACACTTGCCCAGACTAAGAACCGATCATTATCTGAAATTGATGACAACAAAGAGGTCAAAGAAGCTGACTTCAAAATACAGCCTTGCACGTTTGAAGATAGCCAAGCAGACCTCAGATCCAAGGTCTCAACTGCCGGAGAAACAGAAAGTGCAACCACTATCCAAGCTTACAACCCGCCTGATGCTGAATTCACCAGCGATTCTCAGTTCTCATACGAAAAACTGCCCTCCATCACAACCAAAGTGTACTATTCCTCCAGCCAAGACAAATTTCAAACCACAGAAGTCACTACTGTAGGTAAAAGGGACATCTGATACCTGCCTGGGAGGTTGGAGGTCATGACAGGACCTGTGGGGTTAGGAACAAGAACACGCTAAATCAGAGATGAGTTATAAGCCCATGTAATGTCTTACATGCAATCCATAGGTTTCAGGAAGAATGTGAAGCAAAAGATATGTTGCCTCCCATTTATCCTCAGGCCTCTCAGGAAGGGTCAGTGAACCAGGATTTGGAAAACCAACGGTCTTAGGTTACACTACTGACTCTGTGCTAAGTCATTTAATGTACTAAATCATTTCCCACACTGGGTTTCTACCATAGCAAGGAGATTTGAAGTTAACTGGAAATCCCTGTGTGAGAGAAGATATTTAAAGTAGAGAAACCTGAAATGCCCTCACACTAAGTTTTGAGGTGTTTTATAGTGCTTATAGATGAGTTGGGTATCTCAGAGAACTGGCTCTGAGGATCATAGGTAGTTTATGGTTATTAGGGCAGATATATTTTCTTCTGTGATATAACCACTGGTAAGTTACCCATGCTTCTGTCAATAACCTTTTGCCCATGCTCCTGTAAGGAACCCTTAAGTCACACACATGTATGCATACACACACACACATGAAAGTATCATAGCCAGTATCTTACTTAATCTTACTTGGTGTTAAATCTTAATTCTTCATTTTACTTTCATCAAACCTCGATCCCACTGATAACAACAGCAAAAATAAATAAATAAATAAATAAATAATAAAAAAAGTGCTATTACTTTTAGATTTATTTTTAAATGGTAAAATTTTGGGGTAATATTTCAATTTCAGGATATTGTTACAGAATTTGAACAAAGAAAGAGTTCTCAGAGACACAATCAATCTTATAGGAGGCGGTTTCCTCCCATCGTTTTTGAAGACCCTTATCACGTGGCACTCCGCTACATGGAAAAGCACAACATTCTTCAGATATTCCAGGTAAAGCTCTTTATTCTTTGGGTTTGGGTTTGGGTTTGGTTTTTTTGAGACAAGTCTCTTTGTAACAGCTCTAGCTGTCCAGGAACTCAGTCTGTCGACCAGGCTGGCCTCAAACTCACAGAATACTGGGATCAAAGGCATGCACCACCATGCCCAGCCAGGTAAAGCTTTCAGTTCTTAACCTCTCTTCCTGGTTGTAGACTTTAAACATGGTAAAAGAAAATTGCTGGTAAAGGTGGTGATGGGAAGCGCGGTCTAGTTCAGAAATTAGTGTTTTAACCAAAAGGAGTCTAAGAGAAACACTGAGCAAATGATAGCATGACTTTAACTCCATCAAAGACTTAAGGAATGGTAGTTGGGGAAGAATTTGGCCAATAATTAAAGTTTTAGTTTAAATATGTTTATGAAAAAAATCAGTGAAAAATGAAATTGAAGGGATTTTTAGACCTGAGTCTTCAAACATGCAACATTCTTTAGAGGAAATAGTAGAATTAATATATTTCTTCCAGTTCCTGAATTCATAAACCTCATGGATCCCAGGAGTTTCAGTAGGAGCTTCTTTTAAATAGGTATCTTGAGCAGAATGGAACTACGAGACATTGTGGAAGCTGTAATTTGGTGGGTTGTTTTTGTTCATCAGGTACATTTCTTTACACATTACTATTATTGGACATATAACATACATATAACACTGTGTGTTTGGGCTGACTGTTTTAGACAGGTGTAAAGGTAGACTAGTTTGTCTCTAATGAACAAAAAAATAAAGTTTGAAGTAGGGTATAGAGCAGTGGTTCTCAACCTGTGGGTCCTGATACCTTTGGGGGTCAGATAGCCTTATCCCAGGGATCACTTAAGAACAACAGAAAACACAGGTATTTATCATGTAGCAAAATTACATTTATGAAGTAGCAGCAAAAATGATTTGTGATGAGGGGGCAGCTCAACATGGGGAACTGTATTAACCGGTCACTGCATTAGGAAGGCTGAGAGCCACTGGTATAGAGGAAGGAATACCACACTCTATGAGCACCACCACTCAGGTTCTAAGTTGGTCCCATCTCCATGAGCTGGGGGATATTGCTTAGCTTCCATGACTCTTGGACTCTTCGTATAAAATAGGGATTTAAAAATATCTATTTCATTAGCTCTGCTTTGCAATGCAGTGCAAGTGACTAGGTTTCAGCCTTTTATCGGAGAACTAGTAATTGGAAAACAGAAGGAGGGAATGTATTTAGGAAAGCAGTTTGGGGGCTAGCAAGATAATTTAATGGATTTAAAGCCCTTGCCTTTTGATCTACGAAGCCTAATGATCTGAGTTCAATCCCCAAAACCCATGTAAAGATGGAAAGAGAGAACTTACTCATAGAGCTGTCCTCCAAGCTCCCCGCATGGACCAAGCTACACACACACACAAATGCACACGTATACACACACTAATACAAGCTCTCTGCATGTATCAAAGTACACACAAGCTAACATGCATACACATGCATATACATGAATATAAGCTCTCTGCATGTGCAAGGTTTACACACACATGCACACATGTACATACACACTAATACAAGTTTATTACATGGACCAAAGCACCACACACACACACACACACGCATACACGCACACACATGTAATAAATTTAATTTTCTTAAAATTTTTGACCATTTTAATTTTTCAAATTAAAGAAAATAATGCTTATTAACACAATGATATTAAAGAAAATAAATTGTCAAATATGCATGTTGTTAATAACAATATATATGAAGGGGCTGGAGATGTAGTTTAGTGAGAAAATACTTGCTTCACATGCACAAGATCTCCAGAACTATAAAATCAGTCAATTAACTAAATTAAAAATGCCAAGTATGTATTGAATATGTGATTGAGTGATACAGGTATATTGAGCATATTTGATTATATTATTCCTGGAATGTACCTGATTGTTATTCCCTGCAAATGAAGATGTGTGCTTGCTATATGATAACATTTTGAGTTATTCAACAACAGCATAAAGTATGGAAACAGGTGTCATAAATCTGAGATAGCTTTCCTCATTCAATATTAAAACTAAACATAATTTTCACATTTTAAAGTCGGGCATTTTGGAAGATTTATATGTAAATCCCCAGTGTTTTCTATTCAAAATGCCATTCTTTAGTTTTTAAGCAAACGTTTTATTAACTGATCATCTAGCAATATCAGAGTTCTCAAAAACTACTTCTCTCCCACCACCTAATTGGTCTTGGGAACAACCAAAAATATGCATTGCTTCTTAAATTAAAGTTGTTGTCCCTCCGAATCTGATCTCAATTTGCCTGATTTCCTCCAAATAAAGAAAGTAAGATGTTACTTGGGGACATGTGAAGAATGTCTTTAACTACGATATGTCCTCGGGTAGCGGAGGGCTGACTGCAGATCTCTAGGAGCCAAGTGTAGTGTGTTATGCTTTCTCTCAGCAGATCACTGAGAACCTAGTCTACGAAAAGCCAGATGATCCCCTGGATTTCATGCTAAGCCAGGTATGGAGTGGGGGAGAACATCCATTCTATTCTCCTAATCGGAAAACAGCACATACACAGGCAGATGAACAAAGCAAACCATGGACAGCTCCAAGTCATTCTTATTAAAGTCCTGAACAATGTTCAGGATGGTGGCTCACATTCTGAATGACAGTGCTGAGGAAGTGGAGGCAGACAGATCTCTCTCTGTGAGTTCGATGCCAGCTGGGGCTACATAGTGAGACCCTGTCTCAAACTGAAAAAGAACATCCCAGCATCACAGAAACCTCTCTCCTCATGACTTCCCACAAAGGAATTGCTTATAGTATAGACCTTTATAGTAACTTGCTGACTTTTCTTAAATTGCTGCTGAACATGAATTATGAAACACTGTTGTTGAGACCTGCGAGCTCTCTGAACTGTCTTTGAATTGCACCATCTACACTCAGTTCTGTTTTTGTCTTACCTCTTTTCCCCAAAATTATGTCTGTGAGATGGATCCATCTGTTGTGTGTAGCTATTCATCCCTTTTCCACACAACATGCTATTTCATCATGTAGAATACTATGGCTGAGCCATTCTCTTTTCTATGGGTGTGCAGATTATTTCCAATTTTGAGCTATTGCGAAAAATCTTGCTGTGAGCCTTCCCATTCATGTTGTTCAGTGGTACATTGCTCTTGGCTGTATACTTTAATCACTGAATTGTAGAACACGTGTTTGCTTAGCTTCAAATGGATTGCTTTCATTTTCCAACGTGAGAGTACCAGTTTGCACCCCTACGCCCTACCCCAGCTCCTCCACAGGTTTACCAGTGTCCCTGTTGCCACTGTATTTAGCCTTGGCTGTTCAAGTAAGCACATAGTAAAATTTACAGTGCCCTTTTGCCTTTTCCTAGCTGATACGTACTTCATGTTTTTCCATCTGTTTACTGGCCATTTGAAAGCATGTATTTTTCCTATAGTATTGCTTCATGTCTTACTCCTCAGAAGCAGGCTTCTCTATGTCCTGGCTGTGGGTGTTTAGTTAATCAATTTTTTAGTATATCCTTCCACACTCTGTCTCACCCTCTGCCTCTTATATTTTGATGAGCAGAAATTCTTAAGTTTAATGACAAATGTAACAGTATTTTCTTTATGATTGACACTTCCACTGTCTTATAAGTTCACCCACATTTGACTATGGTCTCCTACATTCTGTGTGTTTGTGTGTGCAAAATAAAGCAGGGTTTGTTTGTTTCTTACCTTTCTCACATATGTCTACTTTGTTTACAACAGAGTCTCTTTTTGTTTTTCTGGACTGTGCCAGGCTAGCTGGCTGTGAGTGTCTGCTGGGAACTCTCTCGACCTCCTGTAGGAACACTCTATCTCCCTATCCCTATGGGAACACTAAGATTAAAAAGCCCCTGCCTCACACTGGGCTTTTATGTGGATTTTTAACTCAGACCCTCATGTTTGTGCAGTGAGTACTTTTGCTTTTACCCATCTCCTCAGCCCCTGTAGAAATTTTATCACTGGAATGAATTAGAAAAAAACACTACATGAGGACTCAGTAAAATACTTGCTGTGTAGACATGAGGACCTGAGTTTGGTCCCTGGCACTCACATAAAAAAGCTGCCATGCTTTTTCCTTCCTTCCTTCCTTCCTTCCTTCCTTCCTTCCTTCCTTCTCTCCTTACTTTCTTTCTTTCTTTCTGTACTCTGTGTATCTCTGGCTGCTCTGGCAATCACTCTGTAGACCAGGCTGGCGTCCAACTCACAGAGATCCACTGCCTCTGCCTCCCTGAGTACTGGGATTAAAGGTGTGCATCATCACCTACTTCTTTCTTTCTAAAGGGATCCTCTTGTTTCCACCCATCCAGCACTTTAATACTTCAGGGAGCAGTTTAGTAACTGTTGTTATCTTAGGCCAGTGGTTCTTGACCTGTGAGGTCATGACCCCTTTGGGGGTCGAACGACCTTTTCACAGGGGTCGACTAAGACCATTGGAAAACACAGACACTTACATTATGATTAATAATAATAGCAAAATCACAGTTTTTGCTGATCCTGGGGCTGTAGTTACAGGCAGTCCTGAGCCACCAGAGTTTGTGCCTTTAACCAACATGCCATCTCTCCAGCCTCTTTATCTCTACTTTGTAACTCTTTATATAGAGATGACACTATGTATCCTTCATTTATGGAATCTAATTATTTCTACTCAGCCCAAGGATTTTGTGTTTTAAATTTCTACATATTTAACATCCACAAGATGTAGTGATTCCAAATGGAGAATGTCTCAGTTCTTCTTCTCCTCAGGTACAGGAGATGATCAGATACAGAGATCAGCAGGGGAACCTCTGAAGACGAACCTCTCACCAGCGCTGTGTTCTGTCATCCACCTCAGCGCAGTGCTCTGCTCACTGGAAAAATGTGTTTTCAGTAGGCATATATAAGCTACCTTTGTAAATTTCACATAACTAGCATAGATCTCTCTGGATAATCACACAAAATATACACATTATGGCTACCCATGCGTTGACAGTTCAGTACTTGCTCCCACAAAGCCTGAACTAGAGTAAGGTCAGGTCTCAAAAGGGACTTATTCTCAGCCTTGCCAGGCAGTGGTAACACACGCCTTTAATCCCAGTACTTGGGAGACAGGGGCAGGCTGATCTCTGTGAGTTTGAGGCCAGTCTCCTGGTCTACAAAGCTACACAGAGAAACCCTGTCTCAGAAAAAAAACAAAAACAAAAAACAAAAAACAAAAACAAAAACTATTCTCAACCTCTCAGAGAACATGAGGACCTCACATGGCTCTAAGCTGCTCACAAAATTCCAATCAGAAAATGTGTGGGAAACATTTTTATTCTTTTAACAAATGATTATTAGTGTTACAGGTGTTTCATATTAACAGCAACGTAATGTTAATCACTGCCTGCTTTTTTTCTGCCGTTGGTGAATGAGAATTAATCTCCTGGTTTTTAGCCTACATATATCTGTGCAGGGGAGGCAAAAAAAAAAAAAAAAAAAAAAAAAAAGTCACTTCCTCATCACCTTTATCCCCTAAAGAAATCTATATCGTGTGGAATGTGCAACCAGTCCAGCTGGTATTTAACAGCAAAGCGCTTTAACTCAGTGTATCTGCTATGAGAGTATCTGTCCAGAAATCATACTTGAAATGATTGTTTGATTCTGCTTTTGTATGTCAAATATTTTAAAACTTTCCTGTATGAATAATGAGGCAGACTTGACTCTTTATCTTGTTAGCTAATGATGTGCATTGTCATAATTATACTTGTTTGGCATTCACACACAAACTCTGCTGTCCTGTCACTGACACCTATGTCTCATAATTATACCCCAAACATTCCTATGTGGTCTCAAGATTGGTTAGCTTTTCCTTTAAATTGTTCATGAAATGTGCATATGTTCAAACTCAATAAATGTTCTCTGTGCAAATAATACCTCCTGCTGATTGTCAGCCTGGAATATGATATGAAAGCTGATCAACAAACAGCAACCTATGGAATAAACTACAGTGATGTAAGCTGATTAGATGGTCAAACAAAATAACCTAAAGACTGAGAATCCATCCCTATTAGTTGTGATAGAAATATGCAGGCTACAACGCGATGCCTTGTTAGTGTTGGATCTGTACCAGGCTAGTGGTACACAAGTCTAATCCTAGCATTTAAAAGCTAGAGAAGGACAATCTGTAGTTAAGACCAGTCTGGGCTGTGTAACAAGATGATCTAAACTACAAACGGAAATGAAAAGAGGCTGATCAGATGGGTCAGTGCATAAAAGTGCCTTCCATAAAAGCCAGGCAACCTGAGTTCAACCCCTGAATCCCACAGTTAAATGAAGGAACTGTCTCAGTGGGGGGGGGGGGAGTGGAGTTGTCCTCTGACCTCCACGCTATCACTTGGTGCACATGTCCCACCATGACCTCCCCCTATTCACATGCATCATACATAGGCCACATACAGACCATCACAGTAATAAATAATAATGAATTTTTAAAAATCAACTCTAAAGCATTGAATTTAGTTTTTTGATGTTTAGCCCTGGTATTAGACAGTTTTACTGAGTTTCTAAAGGCAGAACGCCCCAGATCCAACCACTCTGGCAGCAGCAGCCACACCCTTCGGTTGTCTTTGATGCCTGTCACAACCATCATTTGTGACCTTCCATAGTGAAGCAGTGAACCAGAGAAGATGAGCTGGCTGTGATTGTTTCTGCACATAGTTACCTAAGAAAGAAGAAAATGTGCACAACACTTCACATGTCGTGACTCAGGCTCTCTACACAAAGGCATCTGGTACAGAAGATTTATCAGTGGGAGTTCCTAAGTGACAGGAGGTCCCTCACAGGCCAAGCAGAATCTGAGTGCAACTAGCTGGGGGGGGGGGGCAGAATTGGCTCACTGACTAAAGTGCAAAGAGGACAGAGTAGCCTTGAAGAATAAATATGGGGGCCGAAAGTCTCAGTGGGGAGTAAACTGAGATTGAAACACAAGGTTTATTTTATTTGATGTTTTGGGACAGGGTATCTCTGTGTAGCCCTGGCTGTCCTGAAACTCACTCTGTAGATCAATCAGGCTGGCCTCAAACTCACAGAGCTTCACCTGCCTCTGCCTCCGGAATGCTGGGATTAACGGTGTGCACCATCATTCTTGGCTTGAAGGAAGCTTTCAAGGATGGTTGTGGAATAATTATTCACAGAGTTTTGAGCTGTGTCTCAAGTATTGTTTTATTTTGAGATGGAAACAAAGTAGCCCAGACTGGCCTCTAACTTGTTGTACAGGTGAGAATGACCTTGGGCTCCAGCTTTTCCTGCCTCTTCCTCCCAAGTACAGATGCTTATAGGGATGTGTCACCATGCTGAGCTGCTGAGGTGCCCAGGGCCTCAGGCACGCTAATCAAGCACTCTACCCACTAAGCTATATCTTCAGACCTTCTGTTGTTAAGAAAACATATGAAAAGACACCTAGAATTAGAAGTGTTCTTATCAACAGGAGCACTGTCAATCGGACCTGAACATAATATTGATGGACCTCCCCTCACTCTACTTACTGATTTCCTCACAGTAGCAGAAACCAAATCTACTATTACCCTGCATTACCCCCTCCTACCCTCCTTCCTCCACTTCCCTCCCTTTCTATTTCTTTCTTCTAGGCAGAGTCTCACATGGCCCCAGCTAGCCTCAAATTGGTTGTGTAACTAAGGATGATCTTGAACTTCTGATGTTTCTATCCCTACCTTCCAAATATTGGAATTATAAATGTATGACCACACCCAATTCTTTGCCATGCCGGAGACCAAACCCAGCGATTCATGCATGCCTAGCAAGCACTATGCCAAATGAGCTACACCCCCAACCCTCCCCTCTGTTATTTATAGATTGTATTTCCCTGCCCTTTAGCACAGTGGGCAATGCAGGAGCCTCACAAAGAGAAAGTTGGATATCATTGGTAATTAGGGAAATGTAAGTTAGAGTCGCAATGAAACAGCACTCACATTTAGCAGAATGGCTGTGGTCAAAAAGAGAGACAGTAAGTAGCACGTATTGGTAAAAAGTCTAAAGAAATTAAATCTCCCATACCCTGCTGGTCCTCTTCCCTGATATTTGTGTATGGAGATGTGTAGACAAGTGTTGTTCCAGGGTACCTGTGTCCCAGAAGCAGTAACAATCATCACGTCAGCCATGTGAGGCTGTGGGTTGAATCCTCAGCCACAAGGAAGAAAAATATTTAATTAAGAGCATTGTGAGGGTAAAACTCAGAAAGAGCTGTGTTTTTGACATATGGCTGAGTCACTGGGGGAGTGCCTGTTCTGATGACCTTTACAGTTGTGTTAGTCATCACACATGGTCATCACCAAAACTGCCCTATTGAGGTTTAATAAGGATCAGGAGAAACAAATAGGCTGAATAGATGTTTATTCAGGGAGAAATAACTTACAACATAGACAGATGAACCCCAGCAGGTCCCAAGGATGCCTCTGGATGTTCTCCTGTCCCTGTGCTGCCAGCAAGAGACCTCCCAGAGCCCCCTCCTCAGCCTTAGTTCCCCCAGGTAACATGCGCCCATGTCCCCACCCCCCAATGGCCGTGGTCTGCCACCCCAATGGGTGTGGTCTGTGCCAAAGGTGCAGACAAAGTAAATGTCTCACTACACTGCCCCAGTATAAAACCACTCGGGTGGATGAACTATATATCCCTTCAGAAGTAGCACTGAGTTTATAGAGTTTCATAGGGAAGATTCGTGTCAATTTTTATAATAAAAATATAAGGATAATTCTCAAAACACAGAATTGTCCAGCTATTCATTGGTCATGTTTGAAACATACAATGAAACTATAGTAGAGCAGTCCAAATGATGTTGCTGCTGCTATTATAATTGTGTGTTAGTATATGATCTAACACACATCATATAATACCTTTTGACATACATAATAACAAACACATATAGAAAAATATAGTCACATAGGTGAAAAGAAAGATTAAATAAAGTAGAAAAACAGGGTAATATGAAATCCTGAGTTAAAAGGGCATTTAAATACAATGCCAAAATCAGAAACCATTAAGAGCTATACATAACTGACATGAGAGAATAAAACCTATGGGGTAACCGGAAAAAAACAATAATAGTTGCAACATACATGATGTATCAATATTCTCAAAATGTACCAAGTCTTCCTCAGGCTAATTTGTAAGCCCACACACATGGCCACTTAAAGAAGATGGTCAAGAACATGAAAGAAAATTTACTGAGGTGGATTAAATGAGAATGGTTCCACAGGCTCACGTATTCGAGTGAGCACTTGGTTGCTAGTTGCTGGAACTGTTTGGGAAGAATTAGGAGGTGTGGCCTTATTGGAGGAGGTGTTCTTGGTGGTGGGCTGCGAGCTTTCAAAAGCCCACATCATTCCCATTCTCTATTTCCCTGTGCCTCATGCTTGTAGATCAGACGATAGCTCTCAGCTACTATCTCAGGGTCATGCCTGCATGCCTGCTGCTATGCTGCCTGCCATGATAGTCATGGACTCTAACCTCTGGAGCCATGAACCCAATTAATCGCTCTATCTTATAAGTCGCCTTTGTCAAGGGTGTTTTGTCATGACAATACAAGCAATATAAAAATAACACATTCACTAATGAAAGCATGTAACTGACCAAGGAAATAGAAATTTTTTTAAAAATTAAAGGATTTTTAAGTGCCCTTTGATCTTAAGATCATACCTGAAAGTGAAGAGAAATGGGAACTTTCTTACACTATTGCAGGAAGCAATCATTTCCCAACATCTCTGAGATGCTCATCAATAAAACTTTTTAAAGTAAACATAGTCTTTAGCCATAAATCTACATTTTAAGTGTTTTTAACCAAGGAAATAATGAGTATTTAAAATCTTATGTTTTCTGCAACATTATTATAACGATAGAATTTTTTAATGACCTGAATTTTCAACCAGGAAAATTATTTCAAATTCATAGAACAGAATACAATACCCACTCAAATTATGTTGTAAAGAATCAGAGTTATCTCTCTGTATGTGATAAGTACATGTTCATGTGGGGTTGTGCACATGCACATGAAGGCCATGTATGTGGAGTCCAGAGGTTGACAGTAAGCACTTTCTGTTGGGAGCTGTGCAGCCTAGATTTGGGCCAGTATATGAGTGCTTGTCCAACAGGTGACCAGATGAGACAAAAGCCCACAGGCAAGGACTGTGGGCTTCTGGACAATGCAGAACACTGCTAGCTAAGACTGTTTGGCTGCACACTGCCTTCTCTCTTGCAATACTGGCTAGTTTCTTGGTGGTTTTAGCAACATTTTGTCTATCATGCATAGAATAGATGTGATCACTTTTTTTCCTAGTATATCTTCCCCTAAAATACTTTGGGAGCCTATGCTTCTCAGGTTTCTCGTCTGGGGATGCAAAGTGTCACTTCAGACCCCAGGAGCTGTTCTAATTCAGTGCTGACAGGATTTGGGCAGATCACACCTATTTCTGTAAATATGTTTTGAACAATATTGTTGTTCTTGAAAATGTGTGTCTATGTCAATCACCTTTAGTTTTGTAAAGATAGGATATACCTGGATCAGTATTTGGCCAAGCCTGCAAAATGATAAGTGTTGTTTTTAGTTTAAAAATGTTGATGTAAAAGTTGGGAACAAACAAAAAAATGTATTTGACATATTTGTTTTTGCTGGAGCTTACCACTGGAGGATGGGAAATCCTTGTTCGTTAGTATGGAAAAACATGCTTGTTTTTAATGTATAAATAAGGATGGCTGGAGCTATTCAGGGCCAGCCTCTTGTGGGAAACTCATCTGGTTATTTCTTCTCACTGACACCCCTTCCCGGTCCAAGGGCCTGAACCCAGGCTGCTGCTGAACTATAGCAGCTTTCCTCGGTCACTCTCCACCCTATTATTTGAGTCAAGGTCTCTCAATGAAACTGGAGCTCACTGGTTGAAAAGGCTGGCTCCCCAATGAGCTCAGGAAATCCACCTGTTCCTGTCCTCAGCACTGAGTTAGACATTTGCTGTCACATCTGCCTTTTTATGTGGGGGCTAAGGATCCAAACTTGAGACCTCCTGTGTGCATGGAAGGCAGTTTAGCAACCGAACCATCATCTCCTCCACCCGTGTTTAAGTGAAAACACCTGGTAGAGGAGACAATGGGACCCAGTCCTGTGGAGTGAAATGCAAAGAAGCCAGGAGATCAGGGTTTGTCTGCCCTTGATTCATGATGGGACTGTCTCGAACGAGGAGGCATATCCCAATAGTCCCTGAAGGAATGATTCCACTACAAAATGTTGTTTTCCGCTGAGTGAGGGGCTGAAGGAAATAGGTGGATTATTCTCTATCATAGCTATCAGACTAAAAATATGCATTAAAGCAGAAAATAATTTAGAGTAATACATGCTCAGCCTTAAATGGGGGGGGGGGCAGGGGCGGGAGGGAGGAGCCTGGCCCTGCCCAACTTAATGTGCCAGACTTTGTCAATGCCCCATGGAAGCCCTTATCTGTTTCTAGGAGTAGATGGGGGTGGGCTGGGGGGGTTGATATGGGGGCAGGAAGAAGGGAGGGAGGGAGAACTTTGGTTAGAATGTAAAATGAAATTAATAATAATAAAGGGAAAAATAGAAAAGCAAACACCATAGGACTGGCACTTTGGCCATGTGCTTTTGGCTTTCTTTTTGAGCATTTCTTATGCAACAATCATGTTTTTCCAAGATGGAGTAAAACTAACTCACCCTAAACCCTTCCAAATAAGAAAATCATTTTCTCATCCAATACTGCTCTAACTTGTTTGGGTGGGGCAATGTGGGCCAGGAACTCAACACAACAGCAACACCAGGCTTCTGTTCTTTTCCTTAAGATTTATTTTCACTTATGTGGCTATGTGTGTGCCTGTGCACATGAATGCAAGGGTCCACAGAGGCCAGAAGAGGGTGTCAGATCCCCTAGAGCTGGAGTTACAGGCAGATAGTTGGGAGCTACCAGATGTGGATGCTAGGAATTGAGCACAGAGCCTCTAGAAAATGCAGGAAGCGCATTTAACTGCAGAGCCATCTCTGCAGCCTGACTAGATTCTTTTATAAAAGGAAATTTAACAAGATGATGAAAAGGGAAGCAGGATTGGCTGTGAGCACTGCAAATATTAGACACTTCTGGGGATATGAGAGCAACTGGGAAGGGTCCCTCAGCAGCTAGAGTGGTGAGGAATCAGTCTGGCAACAGCCAGGAGGAAGAGATTGCTAGTGGCACCTGAGATGTGGACAGAGCACATGGGCAGCTCTGAGTAGGGAACATGGGCTTCACACAGTGCATTCTTACACCTTCACTATGCTTTCAGTTTCCAAGGGATGGTGTTTTAATGGCATGTTTCTCTTTGTAACGTTGTCATGTAGGTGCTGGAAGGATATGAACTTCAGAAACAATAGCAAAGTCTCCCATACCTTACCACCCAAATGGATTCCTATTAATAGTTGTTGAATATTCTTCCTAAAGTGGAAATTCATATATTGTTTTTAAAAATAAAGTTGTACAGAACTAGACAGGCTACTGTGTAAGCTGAGCTGTTCTGTTGTATTTTGCTTGCTGATTTTCATCTTTAGCTTCTATATTAATCCTGACATTTCATGAATATTCATAAGCATTAGCTGAATAAATGACTAAAACGTGTTCCTATGGTACTATTTGTACATGGATTCATTAACCATTGTGTAGAATTCTATTGTGTGACATATCCTAATTTGTCTAACCAGACTCTGGAACATTGAAGAGAAAGAAGGCTTTCAAAGGGATGTGGACATTCTATGTTGTCCCCTTTCGAAGACTAACTGCCTCCTATTGTCAGCCCTGCTCAGGAATTGGCCTCAGCTATGAAAATCTGTTTCCTTGGGTGACCCTCTCCTAAAGACAGATCATGGAGGACTCAGTGCAGAGCTCAGACAAGCCATCAGCCTCATCACTGCCAGGCCATGACCCAAGGCTGTCTTCCCTAGACTGGGCTTGAGCCTCTATGGGCATGGATCTTGGGGCACTCCCTAATAAGCAATGCATACTAATTCTTCCCGTTGAATAAGAAGAGCATTGCCTATGACAGGTGGTGGTGCTAATCTATGAGGAACTCCCAAGTCTATTGATGAAAGTGTTCAGTTCTTTCTAATATTACTCTATTTACCCCTCAACACTAGACTAAACTAACCATGCAATAGTCTTCATGCTGTGTGCATATGACTCAGTGGTCATAAAGGAAGGGACAAAGAGAAGCAAGAGAAAGGAAGGACCTAGTTTTAGACCTCAAATAATTACTTGATCCTGTCTCTTTGTGTTCCTCCATCTATGTTTCCAACTTTCTTCTCCTTTACAGTTGTTGTGGCATTCACTGTATGAGCATTACTTCATTTGCTGTCCCTGAGAATATAACCTGTGGTTACAGAAATTGAACCTAGCCCTGACCCTGTGCAAATGAATGAGTAGGGAAAATGAACAGGCTTCTTTACCACACAAAGCCTTAGAAGTTAATGATCCAGTCAAGCGAAGGAACATCCAACTAAGCACAAAAAAATCCCAAGTTTGTACTCCAGGAGTAAAGCTGACCCCGACATCAGAGATGTACATTCCACAGCTTCCTGCTCAGCTGGGCAGGTTCAGACAGCATCAGGCTCAGCCCATGTGAGATGCTCCTCCCAGGCACAGACCACCCTTCCCTGGGAAGGGCGCTGCAGAGAAGCAGTGGGGTAGAAAAGCACCTTGGGCTGGTGTGCACTGCAGTGAGTCGGCCGCCCAGGACCAGGAGCCAAACGGAGCAGAGATCACCCTGCAGCCACAGTGTGAGTACACAAACCTCTCAGAGAAGCCCGCCACCTCACAATCTATGCTCTCCTGGGAGCAAGAAAGTGGGATTTGAAGAAAGGGGGCTATACATACATCCTAACCGCTAAGAGTCTGTACCTTTTCTAGTTTGAGATCTTGTAACTTTTACAAGAAATGCTCTTTTGCTAATTGCCTATCTCTTTACCTGACAAAAAAGTTTCCTGTTCTTGTCAGAAATCATTTGGTCTGACAAGCCCTTGAAAGGATTTATGGGGCAGTTTCTTCACAGGTCTTCCCTGAGAACAGTTCTGCTTTGATCAGTGTAGAATAAGTCAACAAATTAATTTTATCTAATCAAGGCCATTTTTACGGGACTGATTTTTTTTTTCTGTTCACCAATGAGTCCACCATGATCTGCAGACTCTAAAAACACATATTTTTGTATTTTCACACAAATTGTTTCAAGTAACACTAGCATTATTGGATATTCATACTTTTATGATTCTGTTTATAAGCCTAAATTTTCATTGATCAGTGGCTCTAGGCTTTTTAAAGAACATTTATGAGTTTTTATTAATTTTAAGGCCTTTATAAAAAGTCAAGGCAATTGCTTGTCTGTTTCTTGCTGAGTAGGCTTGGTAAGCACAGCAGAAAAGAAGGCAATATGCATCATGCTTGTGCAATATTTCATTTTCACAGCTAACGTGGTTGCTCTGCTCTTCCCAGCTCCATGAGAAAGTAGTTCTCCTTGTGATTAATCTTCCCAGTAAGTGTAAAAATGCCTTTTTTCCATGCTCACAGCACAATGTCTCGCTTTCTGCTGTACTAGACTTACAAAATCAACTTTCCTATATGTTTAAACTACCTAGAAAGACTCATAAACATTTAGACAGCAAGAGAAGTTAACTAGATACCACCATTTAGGCAGTAAGTGAAACATCAAATTTTTTCATTCTTGCTTACATTCCTGGCAACAGCATAAATCAACCCCAGAATCTACGGTGCCCTGTCCTGGAATTCGGTCCCAATGGCTCTGCGGGCTGCCCACACACCTGATGAGCCACTGCTCTCTAACTGGGACAGAGACCACACTGATGGGAAGGGTCTCTGACTTGTCTTTCTCCTTCTTTCCCTCTTCCCCCCCTTCCTCCCCTCCCATTCTCTTAATCCAGATTTCTCTAGCATGAGTTTGAGGTGTGGTTTGTGTGCTTTCTGGTGAGGAAAAGAGGTAATGAACTTGAAAAGACAATCTCATGACTGGTAGGTGAGCCTCACCTCTCTCCTGCTTTGAACTTTGGTTTGTTTAGTGAGCAATTGTTTTTAAACCTACTCAGTGTGTCTGGAGGTGATCAACACCCTGGGCATGAACAACTTCATGAGAAAACAATGAGGGCACAAGAAAAGAAGACAATACATTTTTTAACCTCTTAAAAAAGCAGCACGTCTAAAAGAAGAGAGCCTCCCAGGGTGTTGAGCAGTTAAATCATGGAGGTGCTGGGTCACTGGGACATTCTTCTTTAGGGCGGGGCTCACAGGGACCCTTTCTTGTAAGGTGAGGCCCACAGTCAGCCAACAGGGCCATCACTGTTAGCAGGCACAGCTATTCCTCTGCTCTCTGCTACTTGACATTTAGGTATTTCTCATACCCTATCTATTTCCTTTCTAGCACTGCCAGGCAAGAAAACTTAACATACGTGAGGGAAGTGGTATAAGAGAATAATTTGAGAAGTTTCAGGAAGTCACAACTGTGAGCCCACCTCTAATGCTGTGTGCTAAATGGAAGGCAAGACCAGAGAGCCTATCACATCTCTAGGAGTCATCTATCTAGAAAGATCCAAGCTAAAGTTGTGCCTATATGTATTCTCTCTCTCTCGTTTCTCTCTCTCTTTCTTCCTCTTTCTCTCCCGCTCCGTGTGTGTGTGTGTGTGTGTGTGTGTGTGTGTGTGTTTCCCTTCCCCCACCCTCGTCTCTTTACCTTTTCTTTTTGTCATTGTTGTTTTATGTGTTGTTAGGCAGGTACTCGAACACTGAGCTACATCCCCAGCCTTGTTTTATGTTTTAAAATGAGATCTCTCACAATGTAGCCCAGACTGCCCTTAAATTCAGAGCTCTCCTCTCTTGACCCCAGAATGATGGAATTGCAGGCACATGCCACCACACCCAACCTGAGACTCTGGGCTTGACAAGGGAGGTTTGTCTTTTCATGTCATACTTTCATTTGGGGTCTGCTTCCTTCCCTCTGGTAGCACTTTTCTTCTCCCTCTGAAGATCAGTAAGAAGAAAGCTCTTCCCACTCCCTCACAATGAGGCACTGCCGCTGTTCCTCATGGGGCTCATCATGATTCTCCTGGATGCTTTTACATTCTAATCAGGAGCCAAGGAGTGATTCTGTGTCTGTGGCATTTCATAAACTAGAAGGAAGAGAGGAGAGGACTCAGCAGGGTGTGGCGGGTTGGGGGTGGAAGGCTTCCTCCTGGTGGCTTTGTGTACAGGATTCCCTTAACTGTGAGATAAAAGTCAGGTCAAAGCATAGTTAAAAGCCTCTCAATGTCCCTTTGCACAGAGACCGTATGCTGTCCACTTCTGTTGTAGCCAGGGCTGTCTGTCTACACTCCATACATTCTCTGGGTGACGGCCTGCTTAGCCTACTTGCATCTTTCTTTTTCTTTTCTGGTAGTCCTAGAATACTAGTTTTGGACAAGATTGAGACCTGGTGCCAGGTGCTCTGAGGTCACAGACACCCCACTCCTCTTCCAGCTGAAGAAGCACCATTTTGATCTGCTTAATATATTAGAGTCCATATTGAAATCATATATCTTTATTTCGTTTGAAATCATGGCTATGTTGTGTTTTGTTTTTTAATGAATCCACTGATTTAGTTGCCTTCAATGCTTCCTAGCTCTAATTTGCTTCAAAATGCTGAGACAAAGGCCAAGAAAATTAATATTGGCTAGGCAACCAATATGGTATGAGACCTTTGCATAGTCTCATTTAATTTTTAGAGACCCCTTGATACCAGGCTTTGCAACTCTCATTAACAGATAAAGCTTAACCAGAGTCCTGGGGTCACTGAACTAAGTGATCAAACTAAGACTCAAGCCAGGATCTATGGATGGCCATTCTCTCTGCTTTTCCCTATTCCTTAACCTTTTCCACAACAAGCTCTATGCAAATCACTCATTCACACATTCAGTTACATTCCCATTCCCTCAAACAAACATTAACCAACTTTTTCTTTTTATTTAGAAAAATCATTGAATGTTTCTTGGGTATCAGGCACTATGCTGTTCTGGGGCTGGAGCAACTATAACAGAAACCATCTGGGAGTCCTTGCTATAATATTCAGGAAGCCCTCCACAGAAGTTACTAAGAGTAAAAGGTTTCAGAGTGGGGAGGGAGGCTCAAGAGGGACACCGAGGGAATGGGGGGGGGGGAGGGAAAAGTTTATTAGAAAAGTTATTGATGCCATAGATAGACAGGCAGAGGTAGCAGCATGGTGGTGGTAGTGAGAAATGCTCAGGCCCCAGGATCAGAGACAGACAACATGACAGCATCTCTATAGAGACCATCAGAGACCATGTGGCAGAAGTGGGCTCTCTTTTCATACCTATCTGAGGATGTGGGAGATCTCTGGAAGGAGGCAGAGAAGGTAGTGGGAAACAGGGTTTGTGGCCACTGATAACTGCTCACACCCCAGGTGACAGATTCAGGCATCTGGAGGTCTGTCAGTTAGGGACTCACAGAAGGAACCGCTGCTGTGAGCTATGTGACCCCGAGCAGCAGCTGGATTCTAACGTTATGTTCTTATGGAGAGGAACGATGCAAAAAGAGAAAGCAGGAGAAAATCTCAGAGGCCACATCTACATCACTACAGGCTCAGCAACAGCCAGGGCACAAGGGCAAGAGTTAACTGTGCAGGAATGCTGATGGAATGTACAGACACCCTCCCTGCAGACAGGCGTGCAACTTGGTACCTGACACTGGTCACACCCCAGCACAGCTAGGAGGCTTTTTTCTCTTTTCCCAGAGAGGTTTTTACCTCTTAAAGCCAATCATGGAATCAAAAAGAGGCACAAAAGAGTACCAAGTTCGTGTGAGGCCTCCAGTACCCTCTGGCAGAGTAGCTGCCCATTAGGGAAGAGGAGGTGGATACAAGGCTGATTCTCCTTGACCTGGAAGCCCTTAACTGTAGGGCCAACCAGCCACCATTAGTACATCCTTTCTATGTTTCATGGGTCTCTAGAGTATAAAATATAACCTTAACCCAAGTCTCTCTCCTTTCCAAATACCCCCCCCCAGTCATAATTAACATCTCGCTTGTAAACCATCTAGTATTTGATGATAATGATAATGGTAGTCCGTGAAACTAGTTGTATTCTGCCCATTTTATAAACGAGGAAGTAGCCCCTAAGAAGGTCAGTCATTGCTCAGAGTAGCTCTTACAGGGACACTTGATTTGATTGAATCTGGCATTCTGTTGCCAAGTCTAGCATACTTGCCATTAGTTCACACTACTTGACCACACAGTGAATGTGAACAACAGGGAACCCGCATTTGGCTTCCTTCTAACGTATATGGCTGTAAGGGGCTGCCACAAATATCTGCTTAATCTAAATAACAGACAAGGCCAGGCATCATGACACACTTGGCAAGCTGAGGTGGGAAGATCACAGGTTTGAGGCCTGTCTCGTCTATTTCAAAAGACCCTGTCTCCGGAAAACAATATGCAAGTGGCTGAGGATATGCTACCAAACACTGGCCTCCCACTGACTTCATGCTACACCCTATATTTCCAGAAAATAGAAGGGAGTAAGAAGCTGTGGGCTTGCAAAACATCTACATAGAATCCTGGATAACAGTGGGAAACTATTAGTGTGTTAATGCCCTGTGAAAGGCTATGGCAAAAAACTAGTGAAGTGAATGGGGAGAAGTCAGGTGTTGCTGACCTCTGCAAAGACAGGCTCTTGTGAACAGAGAAAATGTATGTGTTCTCTTTATTCCCATGTTTGCAAGGAAGCTAGATAGGCATTGCTTTTCCTACTTAAAGTGCTAGCATTGTGTCAGGATTGCTAAACTCTGGTGTTAGATAACCTAACCAGGGTGACCTGAACTTGACTCTGGGTCCTGGGGATTTCTGGCAATGTGGCCTTGAGCAAATGAGTCCAAATTTATTCATGGTCAAGATGGAAGGAAACAAGTTCTCTGCCTAGATCCTTATGGAGTGTGTATCCCATGAAACCTCAACAATAGGAATGCTCAAGACAAAGACCTTCGTGACAATACCAACGTGATTAGGGAAATCTCAGAAGGCCCCTAGATGAAGAGTTATTGGCTCTCAGACAGGTCATTCAATCCCAAGAGGTCAGCCCCTAAATACATGCTCATAGAAGTAACACTAAATGGGCTCAGTGTGTGTGTGTGTGTGTGTGTGTGTGTGTGTGTGTGTGTGTGTGTGTGTGTGTGTGAAACAATAATAGTTATAGAAGAGATCATACATTTGAGAGGGAGTAAGTAGGTGCAGAAGAGTTGGAGGGAGAGGGAAAGTGTGAATGATTATAAACATAGTACTCATGCATGAAATTTGCAAAAATATACAACATTTAAAATGTTAAAAGGAATGCAGCCCAGCCAACAGATGAGCCCATTGTCACTCACTTAAGACTTCTGACCTTAATTTGTCAGATATTATATTTGTTAGACTGAGGAAATCTGTTACTATAGCAATAAAAAAACAAGTGCAGATTTTTGGCAAAAATATCCATTTATTAAGTCTGTTGAGAAGATGAACAAAAGGTGCTTATCCCAGAACAGAGAGCTTTGGAGGCTGGCAAGTGACAGCTCCCATCCCTTTTGGTCATTATGGAAAATAATCATGGCTTTTTTTATTTTTTATTTATATTTATTTATAACAAAACAGAACTACAAAAGACTTATGTTTAATTGTGTGTGGGGGAGTGGAGTAATCAAGAGTATGCAAGTGCCCTTGGAGGCCAGAAGAGGGCATTGGATCCCCTGGAAGTGGAGTCGCAGGCAGTAGTGGGCTGTCCAACCCAGATGCAGAGAGCTGGACTCTCAGGTCCTCTTAAGAGTAGTAGTCAGTTTTTACTGCTGACCCACCTCTCCAGCCCCAAGGCAAGCTTGGCTCTCTGGGTTACTATTTGAAAAAGCTGGAAGAGCCAGCAAGTTCAGAACACCTTGTCTACTGATGCAGTCCTTCCTCAAGCGGCCAGCCCACGGGAGACTGCCCCACCAGTCTTTCCTGCCACACCACAGTCTAGGTTTCTCCTGTGTTTTTCTTGCCCATACCAGCCGCTGACCTCCTCCCTTCTCTTCTCTACTCTGGTCTGCGTTTTCTCATCCTAATTCTGATTCTTGCGATTCTCCTGTGTGGTACTGATTTGTCGCTCTTTGCCTCTTTCCTCACCTGGTCTCAGCCAAGAAGCCAAACAGTAACCACCTACTTCTAAAGACTCCGTCACAAAAGCATCTCTGGGAAAGCATAGTCAGGCACTGGAGCAACATCCCTTGCTCCTGACCCCTTCAGCTTCCACCTGGACCAGTTAAGAGCCCTTACTTGGCCCCTTCCTTTTTCTCTGCATCCCTCACGCTTCCCCTTTTATTAGCACTGAATCCTGTTCATTTGCCTTTAAAATGCATATTGCTCTCACCCCACTTTAGATTTCCTGAAAGAAAAAAAAGTCTCTTCTCTATTCTTTGAGCCCACTACCAAGAGACTGCTATGTGACACATGCTTACAGAGTCTGTGCACTGATGGCCAGGGATGATGCTGAACTTGGTCTCTCCAGATATTTGCCCTTTATTCTGTTTCCATTATCTGAACTTCTGTCTTTCAAGGTCGGTTTACTTGTGTGTCTGGTTTAGAAAGTAGCCCAGCTGGTCAGAATTAATGTCCATGCATGCCAATAGCAAACTTTACAATGTAACTAATCCGGCTGTACCTGTTAGATTCTTCCTGGTGGAGCCTTCTAGACATTGCAAGGTTCTAACCCTCTGATGTACAAGAATTACTCCAGACAAACAACTGACATTTCTAAGCAGAAACTCTACAGGGTGGGTGGAGTTGGGAGATGGTGTAACAAGGGTCCAGACTCTTCTGTTCCTTTGACAAACATTGATGGGATGTGTGTGCCAAGCCCTGAGCCAAAAGCACTCACACATTTAACACCTTAAATTTCCACAGCCTTCAAGAAATGGAAAATATCTATGGGTGTTTAAATTACATAGGTTATTAATACACGCCTTACAGAACAACAGCAGAGTTAACTGTTATCAAAGCCCAGGTCATACAAAAGTCTTGGGCTGAAGGAGATGGCTCAGCACGGAAGAGCAGCAATTTTTCTAAAAAGGCCTGAGTTCACTCCCTAGCAACCATATCAGGTGACTCAAAACAGCCTATAACTCCAGCTCCAGGGGATCCGAAGTGACTGATCTACACAGGCATCCACATACATACGACATAACATACACTCACACAGACACACAAAAACACATAATTTTAGAAGGGGAGAAATAAAACAACAAAAGCAAGACGCACCTCCCTACAGATTTCTTGTCCATAAACCAGGAGTTCAAGCAAGCTGGCTAACTTGCTATCTTGTCTTCACCTGGCTCTTCTGAATCTACTCCCTCATCTCCCCTCTCCTTGGAATGCCTACCACCCACCTCACTTTCCTCCTACATATCATACCTCTACTGTCCTGATCCAGAGGCTTTTCTCTACTTTCCTCTACTCTCCTGATCCAAAGGCTGACTCTATAATCAGCTAGCCAGGAGTCTTTCGCACCCAGACCCCAGTAAGGTATTTAGACATCCACTTATATATGATAACTGTTTGACGACTTAGCGTCTCTCCTAGCACAAAATCCTAGAAAGTAACAATCTTCCTCATGCGCCTTTACATGCCTCAACATGCAAACTGTATCATTTAATACCCTTAGACTTAGGGTGTCAATTGGTTAAAGTGTCGAGGGATGGAACAGCTTCTCTCAAAGCGTCTCAAGTGCAGAAGCCAAAATGATTGACCCGAACACTTAACCTTGTGTTCCTTCCAGAGGATCTTCAAGGAGACATGAGACCCATGTTTAGTTGCATTTGGCATAAACAGTATAAATAGTTTCTAGGAGTTCATGCAATCAGCAGAAAAGAGTGTGGGCCTCAGAGTCACACAGACCAAAGATGTCACTGAATCTGTCACTGTTGGTCTGTGTGACCATGGAGGTACTGCTTCACCAGCTAGTTGGGTTTTGATTTCCTGGTGTGCAAAGGAGCCTCATTCTCCCCCACATTTTTGTTCTTGTTAGGTTCTGGGAATCTGATATGTATATGAAGTTCCTAGAAGAGTACACTTTGGAGCTAAACATCCCTCTGTCTCTGCAGGTCTCTCCTATGACAAGGAAATTACACACACACACACACACACACACACACACACACACACACACACACATATATATATATATATATATATATATATATATATATATAGGATAACAAAATGTTTAACATCAGCCCACAGGCCATAGTGACCTCAGCCAACTCTCTTCATTTCCTTGTGGTTACTGTTGGCCTTGTCCAAGGATGGCAGAGCCAATAGCAGGGACTCTTAGTGTATGTCAGCCTGGTCATCACCATGATAGGTCTGCTCTTTGTGGCCCTGGTGATCTTGAAGAATCTCAGTACCCCTCTCAGAATGATGACTCTGGTGTTCTTCATATGCTAAAGGACTCCTAAAAGGCACTGGTCAAACTATGAGGGCCTTTATTTTATTCTTTATAAAACTTCTGTGACTGCCAACCTTGGGTATCAAATTTCCACCATTACTAGAATCTCTCATGGCCTAGATTTGGATGCAAAAAAAAAGAAACAAGTGATGTCATGATTTGATGACAGTGTAGAAACTGAGGCAATATTTGCTACCTGCTTCCATCAAACTGTAACAGCCTTAACTGTGTCTTCAGCTTGTGGGAAATCCTGAAGATGGCCAAAGACGATTCCACTGTTCGTTGCTTCCAGGGCCTGTTGATTTTTGGACACGTGATTGTCGGTGTAAGTCAAGAGTACTTTTCAAAACATTGTGTTGTTCTTGTAAGCATGGTTTTTAGATTAACTAAAAGTGAAAGTTTAAGAAAATGGTACAGTTACTGCTCCCCTTTATACTGCCTTTATTTTAAGAAATGTGGTAGGGAACACACTAGCTAGAATCTTAAAACACTCATGAATAATTACCTATTATGACAAAAGGCCATGGTCAACTTTAAAATAGATATCTTCTATCCAATTTTTAAGATATAATGAATTTTTAGAGTCATGTTCACTATGGCCAGTGTCCAAATACACCTGCCAAACTTTCCTTTATGCATCTGCCCAGTTTCACCTTGGTTTGACTTGGGGACTGTGCTGGGACAGAGTGTGAGAGCGGCTCAGAGCCCAAGCTGTGTGGACATGTGGATAAGGAAAGAACATTAGTCAAGAAGTCAAGAGAGCTGGTCCTTGGCTCAGTTCTGTTCTGCCTCTCTGTGAATACCTGTGGGTGAGTTATCATCATTCAGAGACATGATTGTTCATCCACAGAATATGAGCACTTGGAGGACAGTTGCTAAGATTCCATAACCACTGTGACAATGGCCAGCACATTTCAAATATAACAAGAGAGGAAGATTCTTATTGGGAGAGGATAGGGAGATAACTTTCAATCAAGAAGGCACTGTCTAAATGGATTGTATCACAGGAGCTTTATGGGTAGTCTGAGATTACCTAAATCTTTTCCCAAATTGAAAACAGACAGAGATATATGTAGAAGAAAGCATCAAAGAGAAAGCAAAGTACATGGATCTCCTGGAAATGAGGAATCCATTGCATAAAACCTCTGCAAGGGAAAGGACTCAGCTCTAGGACATACCCTGCCCTCATCCCCTTCCCAGTGATCTGCTCTTGGCCACCAACCTGACAGATCCACTCGTGGCTTGTTTCCAGATGTGTGGCATTGCCCTGACTGCAGAGTGCATCTTCTTTGTATCCGACCAACACAGTCTCTACCCGCTGCTTGAAGCCACCAACAACGATGATATCTACGGGGCAGCTTGGATAGGCATGTTCGTGGGTATCTGCCTCTTCTGCCTATCCGTTCTAGCCATAGTAGGAATTGTGAAGTCCAACAGGAAAATCCTCTTGGCGGTAAGACCTTACAACGCTCTTGGAGCTGGAGGTATAGCTCGGTTGATAGGGTGCCTGCCTAGCACATGTAAGGTCTTGGGTTCAAACCCTAGCACCATATTATTTGGCTGTGGTAATTCATATCTACAGTCCTATAGCATTCTGTAGGTAGAGGCAGGATGATCAGAAATTCAAGGTAATCCTTGACTAAATAGCAAGTTTGAGGCCAGCCTGTATTACAGGAGACCCTTTCTCAAAACGACAACAAATTCTCTGCAGTTGTTTTCCTGGGCCAATTGTCAACTATTTCTTCTCCACCGAGCACGGAGCTTCAGTTTTCACTGAGCTAAGTGGAAGAAGAGTTCCAGTGAGTGGTAAAAACAACAAAACAAAACAGAAACTGGAGGTCCCCAGTTGTAAGATCATCCATGCAGGAAGTAGAGATAGATGCCCTCCATGATTGCAAGTTCAGGTTCTAGTAAAAAGAACTGAAAAGGAAAACACCTGTGGGTGCTCTGGTTGACTGTGTGCACCCGGTGTGTTCTTCTCAGCTCCTGTCTGCATGTGCCCAACATTTGCAGCCAGGAATTATATGAACAGGAGAAAAGTCACATGGAGGGCTTTTTTGTTAGATCCTTGTAATAGGTAGTTTTAAGTTTTCTTTTAATATTAGTCAGATATTAGTGTGTTAAGATACAAAATACAAAGTAAACATGAATTTTTCAAAGCAAACAAGAATCTCTCCGAAGACGTTTTTGAGTTCAAGGCCAACGATTTTGTGTGATAGCCTGCATTCCCACGCTGTCATTGACTGCAGTACAGGAACCTTGGAAGTGCCTGAACAGCACTAATGTGACTGACCCATACACACTATTCTGTGGTCTCAAGCCACTGACTAAATCATGCTCTGCCTTTGCAAATGGAAATGAACTGTTAGCCAGCTGGGAAGAAACTCTTCCTTGGGCCTAGACCTCAGCCTTCTGCTCCTGTGTCCCAGACATCAGTTTATGCCATCACGACTACACACACATACACACTCACCTCTCCCTATCCCTTAAGAGAATCTACCCTGAGTCCCACTTCTAGAGAAGAAGATCAGTCACTTAAGGAGCTTGTTGGTTCACTTCTTTAAGGTAACCATCGCTCTAGTGCCTGGGAATGCAGAATATTTACCTTCTCTGTTTCCTTTGGGTGAGTTAGTTCCAGGGCAAAGGCAGCCACTCAGACAGTGGGAAAAGGCAGGGGTGGGGGGAATCTTCCTGAAGACATCTTCCGCTGCAGCCTGGGCTCCTTCTGGGCCAGCCATATGTGCCTAACAAAGCCAGAGAATTGAGCTGGCAAGGAGGCATGGAACGGAGACTTCTCTATGAAGCTGAAGGAAATGCCTGTGCCAATGCTTCCTGTCTGGCCTGACTGTAGAGGGTCCTGAGGTTCTGTAAGAGAAGCCACCAGAGCTCCTACCAGGAAGCAAGGCAATGGCCAATATGGAGACAATTGTGGGGTCTATGGTGTCTCAAAAGGCCCTTTTTACTCATCTTTTCATGGAAGTAGTTGTGTTTGTTTCCTTTTGGAGCCAGATAGTGAAAGCATCAAACAGCCCTGACATTTGAACCCAAAAAGGGACGACAACTTCCAGTCTCCCCCACTGCCTCCCACAGCGCTTCCTCACAAGGAGGACATTAGGGGCAACATCGCATGTATAAAAGTGTGCAAGGCAGAGATCAAGTTCTCACAAGGGGTTGACACACACTGAAGGGCATCTGCTTGTTCTGCTGTTTGCCAGCCAGACACTAGGGACGGGGCTGTGCAGAGCTGTTTGTCCACAGTAGCTTGCCACCTGTGCAACCTGTGCACAGCGTGGGTAGCACACAGAGAGCTCTGCTCTGCCCTCACCAGAGCTGGAATCACTAGGACATGGGTTTGTGAAAGGAGGTCACCAATGAGTCCCCATGCCTGAGGGCTGCCTGCTCGTTGCAGATGAGCCTGGGTAGGAAAGACATAAGGCATTAAACGTGTTCTGTCATCTTTTCCTGGTTTCTGTAGTTCTACATCTTCAGCAATCCATGAAGAAAATGACTCCCACTTAGAAGGGGTTTACAATCTGTGGCATCGTGTATGAAGCACTAAGGCTATCTTAACAGCCGCCACTGGGCATGCGTGTGTACACGAAGACTCTGGAATACCCACGCCATTCCTTCATTGCTTGTAGTAGCTCCTCCAAGTTAAAATAGAAATTCATGATGCTGGGTGAGAAAGCTCTAAGTTTAATAGCCATTTTTCTAGAGATAAGCAGAGAACTGTGCTGACCCGCATGCACTAGCCCCGTTTCCAAGCAGCTGATCCAAGAGAGTTTGGACTACATAGTGACTGCATATCACAGTTAGATGAATGTGCTTAAAACTCACAGCAATCACGTGGTGAGACTTCTCTTGTAATTCTCTGTTTTCATCTGTTTCCTTCCCAGTACTTCATTATGATGTTTATAGTGTATGGTTTTGAAGTGGCATCTTGTATTACAGCAGCGACACAACGAGACTTTGTGAGTATGGTCCCCAAAGCACAGAGCAAAAATGACAACATTGCTGGCACTGCAGCAGCTGACATGCTTTAAGCCCTTGCTGTGTGCTGGCCATGCTAATAGCACACTACTAATACAAGTGCACTTTTACTTAATACTCAGAAATCTAGAATGGGAAGTATTGCTTGTCTTTTCTAAATTAAGAGAGCAACTTAAAGATGAGCAACTGACAGGTGACAGCAAGACTTCGGATCCCAGCAAGCCTGGTTCCCCAAGCCCAACCTGTGATACCTGCATTGCTCATCACTCAACCACTCCATGGCCTTCCTGCATGTTCTGCCTCATGGGAGACACAATTCAGAGTCTTTCTTGTTCTGTTTCTCACTGTTTCCCTAACCTATGCCATCTCAAAACACCTGTCTATCCTGATCATGCAGTGGTTTCTTTTTCTATGAAAACCCTAAGTAGCCCAAGCCAAATAAGCTTGGTGCCCAAGGTTAGCTTCCCTCCAAGAGGATGTTCAGCATCCTTGACAACTAGCTCTGCAGAAGACATTACCTTTCCTGGGAGCAGGCATGCTGACACTCCCTCTTGTGTAATCCCCACCCCTGCAGTTCACAACCAACCTCTTCCTGAAGCAGATGCTGTTAAGGTATCAAAACAACAGCCCCCCAACCAATGATGATGAATGGAAAAACAATGGCGTTACCAAGACCTGGGATAGGCTTATGCTCCAGGTAAGATGTGTGGTCCTTCGGTGATCTATGGTCCATCTGAACCAGTAAGAACATGAATGTTGGTGGGAGTGAGGTCAATGCCTCCAAGGACTTCCTTCAGGAAGAGACTCGTTCCTGGCCAGGTTAGCAATGCCTCTTGTTTACTGGAGATGGTGCAGAAGGGGGAATGGGAAACATAACTTGGTGAGGCCTCTGGATCCATACTTTATGTCAAGCTATAATGCTGATTAGCTTGCCTTTACAGAGTGCATGTTAAAAACTTTAGATTAATAATGTGTTCTGCCTCTTACAATGTTAGGTCTCCCTTACATTGACAGAAAAAGGGGCCTTCTCTCCCCCACAGCAAACTCAAATAGTGATTGCACCTGTCTCACCTTTTTATATCTCCTATGTAGAATTCTGCTAAGTATCAGGAGATGATATTTGATTTAATCACAGTTTTAAGTGCACATCATGCCATATACCCAAACTTATTCCAAATACCATCAGAAACCCTAGTCTTTCAGAATATTGGCCCATTTTATCTTTTGTGTATAATATGAGCCAGCTCTTCAATGGCCCCAACACACACATACTCATTCACACTCACATACACATTCTCTCACACACACAGACATTCACACTCACACACACAAACATACAACTCTCACATACACATACACACACTCTCTCACACACATTCTCTTTCTCACACAACACACCTCTCTCACACACACACATACACACACACACACACTCATACACACTCACATACAATTTCTCTCACATACACATACACACACCTCTCTCTCTCTCTCACACACACACACACACACACACATTCTCACAATCACACACTCACGCATTTACCAACCTTTCTACTCCTTTCAACTCTCTCTTGACACTCCTGCTTCACTAGAAACCTGGCTGCCTTCCAGTGTCCCCTGCCTGTCCTCTTACACTCACGTGCCCTATGACCTAAAAATTGACTAGGTTTTCCCTTTCTCTACATGGCTTCTCTATTTTCTCTTCCCTTGATCGGCCTGTGGTCTCTTTATTGTGGCTTTTTGCCAACCACCTTCCAGTGGTTGGGATTTCAGTATCAACAACCATCTCCTCTTCATTCACGTTCTCAGCATCCTGCCTTAGATGAGGCTTCAAAACCCACATGGGTACTTACACATCTGCTCTCTCAACTCTTTGTCTTCAGCCCAGTTCTCCTCTCCTCGTCTCAGACAGCTTCTTCCATGGCCCCAGCCAGCATGTCATCACCAATAACTATGGCACCCACTTTCTGACAACCTTCTATAATTGCTTTCACTTGCTCTAATATCCTCATTCCACCATTTTATCCCATTAGAATAACTTACCAATTTATTAGTCTAGTTTAATTCTCTAGTTAATTGTCCATGTTTTCCTTTCCTATCACCCTTTCATGCTCTCTTCTTGCCCTCACTCTCTTTGGTCCTCTCCTTTACTCCATTTGTGTCTATTTTTTTGCCAGTCTTTCCTACCCAGTCCCTATGGAAGCGAATACAGTTTTTGTCCACTCCTCACCTAAGGGCTAGATATTACTGAGCAAAGTCCCCCAGTTGTGCTAATTTAAATTTATGATTATAAAGCTCAAGTGGGCATTCTCTGTTTCCTGAGATATATATATATATATATATATACATATATATATATATATATATATATATTAATTCACTTTGTCACTATTGTATAGAGTTTCCTTTTTCCACCTCTGCCAAATCCCCCTCCCCCAGCCTCAGCAACAACAGCACCTCATGCCTTAACAATATAGAAGCAAACAGATGGAATCCATTTCACCTCTGTCCATCTACTATCTGCAGCAAAGACTCTTCACCAGTGACAGACAGACTGCCCCACACCCAAGTCCTTGGCTTCCATCTGACTTCCTCTGCTTTTCTTCAGCCTACTCAGCTCTGACTTGCCAGTTCTCCCTAACATCAGCTTACAAGAACATCTTCAAGAACTCTTGTCCAGTGTCCACCCATTATTCTATTATTCTGCTCCACTACTGTTCTATTTGTGGCAAATCTCGGAAGAGAAGCCTGTACCTGGCATTTTCATTTCCACACTTTTCAGCTGCTTTTATCCAGCTACAGAGGCTTCTGATCCCAGGGCACTACTTAGAGGACTTGTACCACAGTTACCAGTTCCGTCAATCCTCCCTAACTCCGCGGCCACATTACTGTCCTTATTTTTACATTAGTCATCTTGAAGACCCCTTCTTAGTCTCCTTTGTTTGGTTTCCACACCTTTCTCAACTCAGTGTTAGAGTGAAACAAAGCTCAGTTCTGGAGCCTTAACTCTTTCTGTCTATACTTATAGCCTCATCTGAAATAAACTTGTTCAAACGCAACTCATTTCCCCAAGAATGCACAACATTGAAACACAGGATGAAGGGCTGTAGAGAGGGAACACAGAATGAGCGTTAAAGAGATGGATACAGGATAAGGACGAGAGAGATGAACACAGGAGTAGAGATGAACACAGAATGAGGGTTATAGATATGGATACAGGGTGAGAGTGAGAGAGATAGACACAAAATGATAGTGAGAGAGATGACACAGAATGACAGTGAGAGAGATGGATACAGAATGGGGGTTAGAGAAACATGGAACACAGAATGAGTGTTAGAGAGATGAACACAGAATGACAGTGAGAGAGATGACACAGATTGATAGTTAGAGATGACACAGAACAAGGGGCTGGAGAAACGGCTCTGTCAATCATCTGGTGCACAAGCATGAGGACCAGCGTTCAATCACTAGCACCTTTATACAAAGATGGATGTGGTGATGTGTGTCTGTGATGCCAGCACTGAAGAGGCTGAGACAGGGGTCCTGAGGCTCACTGATGATCTCCAGGTTCAGTGAGAGACCTTGCCTTAGGAAATGATGTGGCGAGATTGACAAACACACCTGATGTCCAGCTCTGGTATCCACGTGCACTCATACACTCAAGCATGCACACACATGCACGCACACGCGCACGCGCGCGCGCACACACACACACACACACACACACACACACACACACACACACACACACAAACCACAGAATGATTCTTCTTCCTGATTAGCATTTCCTATATCTCAATGGCAAAATTGCACTCTATTTCAAGATGACCTTTGCCCTTAGATTTGCTTGGTTATATGTATTCTAAAAGTTGGGGGAGGCCTGTAATTTTTACTTCCTCCCTGAAACATTTTAGCAGAATTTATGATAAGGAAAGGGCGTAATAAGGGTTTTACAGCCTCTCTCCCAGGTATGTTCAGAGTTATCAGGGCATCAGATTATATCTGTTGATCCTGTTTCCTATGTAGAGGGACAGTTGTATGCCACCAGGTCTGAACTATTTTTCCAGTTTACTTTCTTCTTAATAAAATAAGTGCATAGCCAGGAGGTGGTGGTACACACCTTTATTCCCAGCACTTGGAAGGCAGAGACAGGCAGGCCTCTGTGAGTTTGAGACCAACCTGGTCTACAGAGTGAGTTCCAGGTCAACCCAGGGCAGCCAAAGCTATGCAGAGAAACCCTGCCTCAAAAAAAAAAAAAAAAAAAAAAAGAAAGAAAGAAAGAAAGAAAGAAAGAAAGAAAAGAAGGAAGAAAAAAGAAGAAGAAAGAAAACTAATGTATAATTACTTTAGGAAAATGTTACAAATAGGAAAACAAGGATAATTGTTAATAATTTCTTTACTACTAAAACTTCTCATTTTATGATTTGTAAATGATTATAGTTATACTTCTCTTGTATTAATGAGTCTTTCTATAAATATTATTAATAATAAATGCCTATTAAGAGTTTACTATAAGCTAGATCTGTACCAAATACATTAGTTATATTAACACACCTGATCCTCACAAAAATTCTATAAGGTAAGTTCTATATTTATTTCAAATTTATAGTCAAATGAAATAAGCCTTAGAGCAGCGGTTATTAACCTTCCTAATGTCACAACTCTTTAATGCAGTTCCTTATGTTGTGGTGACCCCCAACCATAAAATTATGTTGTTGCTACTTCATAATGATGTAAATATCTGATATACAGGATATCTGATATGCGACCCCTGTGAAAGATCCAATCCACCCTCAAGGGGTTGTGACCCACAGGTTGAGAACCACTGCTCTAGGAATTTACAGTATTGTGTCCATTAATGGCTGGTAAAACAATAAACATAAAAAACATTTTAGAAACTTAGGAAAACCTTGAGCTCTTGTTCGGAAATAATTTGATAATGTAAGATATGGTATGCTTTCTAGTATTTTCTCAATGTCACCTTGTTGTGACCTTGATGGCTTTGGTATGAGCCATAAAGATAACATGTGTGTCTTATCCTCTGGCAGGACCACTGCTGTGGTGTAAATGGCCCATCAGACTGGCAGAAATACACCTCTGCCTTCCGGATGGAGAATAATGATGCCGACTATCCCTGGCCTCGGCAGTGTTGTGTCATGAACAAGCTTAAAGAGCCTCTCAACCTGGACGCTTGCAAACTCGGAGTGCCGGGTTATTACCACAGTCAGGTGAGTCCCCTCCCCTCCGAAGACCTAGCAGCAGGTGCGTCTGCTTCTTTATGAAGAAAAAGATGGTCAGCTGTGAGTACATTTCTCCTGCACTTCATGTTATCTATCTCCTCTGTGAGTGCTCACTTAGAATGGTTGCGATTTTAATCTTAGTAAAATTACTGCAACGTGAGGATTTCTATAGCACAAACCACCTTGGTGACAATGAAGACGATCTGTGTATGTTTAGAACTGATTTTTTCTGAGAAATATTTGCATTAATAAAAAGGCTGCAAAGTGTAAATCGGAAAGGCTGAAATACAAAGAGAACAGTATTCAGTTCCAGAGCAACGGCAACTGCTGAGGTCAAAGGTGATGAAGGGCAGTGTTTAGCAGGATTAGCCTGGTGACTTGGGATGAAATGGTTTACATTCATATGGGTTTTATTGAAGTGCTCCTACACTGATGAAAGTGACCTGCTGGTGATCGCTGAACACTTACTGAAGTCTTCTTGAAAGGCAGATGTTGTGTCATGTGTCACACAGAGATTATAATGCCTGGAGCATTCAAAAGTTGGTGCTGGCTGTGCTCTGTAATCTATACATATGAGCAAGGGATGCTAATCAGGCCTCGCCCAAGCTCACACAATTAGTAAATGGCTGTCAGACTTCAACCCCAAGCCACACAGCTTGATAGCACAGAAACCATATCAATAAAGGCTTGGAAGTAGTCCCCCAAAGTGTTGGAGGGCTCTCTCAAACCCTGTAACCGGCCTCCGCTGACACAGTTCTCCATTGAGCCTTGGGAAAAGTCCCTGTGAGGAAGCCTGGCAGTGTGTCAGTTTGTCAAACAACTGAGAAGCATCAGGCTTTTTCCTACAGAAGTAAACGCCACAAACCACACATTTGGAGTGAGGGACACCACTGTTACACCTGGCAGGGTACCTGGACTACAGTTGGATGCATTAATTCACAGAGGACATGGGAGAGATATGGATGACTTGGTAGCAGTGCCCAGAGCAACCCGTACTGAGCTTTATAGCAACCTTGCTATGGCATTGTTTATAATCAGCATAAAATGCAACTATCACTCAAACTACTCATAAAATGTTTTCAGCATGCCAACATTAGATGTGGCTCATGCAAACCAGTCTTTACTGAATTATAATCGTGTACAAACAGTGTCATCTTTCTAAAATGGACAAAAAAAAAAGGGCATTCATCTTCCAATTATTGCATAGCCTTGTCTTCCCCCCTACAATACATAAGACTCCAGCTCTGGAAATCTACTAAAACCACTTACTCAAGCGTAGATAGGCAAGTTTGAAGGGGAAATACAAATTAACTCTTTTTCTTTGGGCTACTTTGGGACCTCCACACCCGTCTTGACACCTTCATTTTACCTTATCTGTCTTCAGGGTCTCCATCCTCATCGCCAGCCAGCTGGGCCACAAGCATAGACCAGCACTACCCAACCCCACTCTTCAACCAAGTTCCCAAATTCTGACATTTTTTTCCTCTGTTCCTTTTTCCCTTTGCCCCCACTTTCCCCAGTCTCGCTCGTTCCTCCCCCAGAACATAAGCAGATCCATCAGTCTGACTCTCCCTGTCTTGATTCCCACACATCCCCACCTTCTGACACACAGGAGCTGCTAATTCCACCACAACAATCCTTTGCTCTACAAGAAAACAATACACCCAATACCTACTATACTTTGCTGTTGCTGTTGCTTTTACATTTACCTTGTCCATAAATTTCTGTGAGCAGTCCTTAAGGACTGCACTACTTAGTTCTGTATCTTCAGCATCTTCCATAATGCTCCACACAAGGCAGATACTCAGTAAATGTTTGGTGGGTGGATAAATGAACAGAGGCGTGGATGACTCCTCCTTTCAAAACCATATTGAAGCTTTTCAACACTTACAACACACCAAGGTGTTTCTACTGCTATAAAATCTAGCAAACCTAGAAAAGTCAGCCTGAGTATAGTAAGTAATGAGGGACACCAACCAGAATGCTACATAGCAGATCAATACACACACACACACACACACACATACAGGCTCCCTTGAAAATGTTACATGCAAATTTTAATGACTTTATCTCAAGAATATGAATATATGCTCAGAGAGTAAAATCCCAATAAAATGATTTGTATCCTGGAAACTCACTAATGAAAGGAAAAACTAGGAATTTTGACTTTGAGTCCTAAAAGACAAGAGTCCTTTCTGTCTTGCCTCAGCTAAGTGCCCAACTAAGGACCCAGCACCTGGTATAAATTGGCTCTTATAATAGTATTAGATTAATGATTACCTCCCAAGATATTCAAGATTATGTTCTCTGCTTTCCAAGTAGAGATTTTAATCATTACTTAATATCCTTAAGTTTGTTTTTTCTTTGTTCTTTTGTTCATTCATTCATTTGTTTAAGATAGCATGTCATTCTGTAGCTCAGGCTTACTTTGAACTCTTTATATGGTCCTGAAGGACCTTAAACTCATTATGTAGTTCAGACTGGCCTTGAATTTATAATCCTCTTACCTAAGCTTCCTCAATGCTGGGATTACAAAATCTTGTTATTAGGTACCTACTAGATTCCAGGCACTCATTCTAGATTCTGGAATTCAACAATTAGCATAATAAAAAAACTGCCCTTTTGGCTGTTGAAATCTATTCTAGATGACAAATAAGGAACACACTGCACACGGATGCACAAATTCCAGGTAGTGGTAGTGCCAGGAGTGGACATAGGGCAGGGTTTGTAAATGGCATATGATAAAATAAAGCTGTCTCTTCTGTGGCTGTCCAGAAAGCCTTTGTTGAGATGATATCTGCAGAGTTCTGAATTAAGTGAGGAGATGGGGAACTGGAGTGTTAGGGAACACTTCTAAGCAAAGGATGCAGCCCATGCAAATACTGGAGATTTGTTAGCATTGTTAGCTTGTCTAGGAGACAAGCCTTACAAGGCCAGAATAATGGTGAGATGTCTAGACGGGATAGATAAACATAGATCTAGTAAGTGGACTCAGATGTGCCAGGCCCTGTCTCCTGATTAGTTGAATCAGTACCACAGGAGGAGGCCCATACATGTTCTTCTAGAGTTGGGTTTCTCCCTCAAGTGAGGCCCTGGAGGGGCCAGAGTGGTACAAGGAAACACTCAAACACTCGGGAGTGTTTGCATTTTTAATATTTTTAAATAGACCCTAAAGAATTTGTTGAACATTGGATAAAGAAATTAAGGAAAATTCTAGGAGTTTTCATTTGGGCATTCTGCAATATAATAGAGTAAGTGAGGGAACTATCAACATGCAGGGGTAGAAAATAGCATGTATGAGGCTTAAGAAGGGGAGGACACTGAATCATGGGAGACAGAAGATCCAGTGCACACCTGTAGCCACTGGGTGGAGCCTAAACCTCATGGCCAACCTAGAATAGTTGTTGAAATTTGGGAACGAATCTAGCACAGTTGCCTCTATAACTTTTGGTGCACAGAATCTGCCTGGCTTCTGCGTGTCCTAGAAGTTCCCTATGATTTCTAAGGTTATGGTAGAGTCCCTCAGATGGGAACTCTAGCATTGTGTGATTGTCAACTATTAATCCGATGGCATCAGTTCTCATCTCTGCTCTGGGCTCTCCACATTAATGTAGCTCATGCCATCTTCCCAGGGCTGCTATGAACTAATATCGGCACCAATGGATCGGCATGCCTGGGGAGTTGCCTGGTTTGGATTTGCCATTCTCTGCTGGACTGTGAGTATCCTTGGCACATGTTTTAGTTCTGAAAGTAGCAATAATGAGAGACCTTGAGAAGGACCCTGGTTACTTCAACTACCCTTAAAAAGTCTGGGAACCAGATATTGCAGCTAAGGTAGTCAGGAGACTTCTAGCATCAGGCCAAGGATGATGAGCTCCCTTGAGGTGTGGGATGTCAACCTTCCTGCTAAGGAAAGGATGTGACTACTATGTAAACCCTTCTTCTGGATGCCCCAATGAATCCACCTAGACTTCTTGGTGAACTCCAGCTGTGCTCCACACTGAAGTAATCCATTGCAGCTAGACTTCAAGGCCCATTCTGTCACCTCTCTAGACAGCTTCTGCAGCCCAACATTAGTTTCCTAGCTCCTTCAATGGCCTCATCACTTCCTGCTGCCTCTCTGTGAGGCACATACAGTGAGGTCAGAGCTCCAGCTCCCAGCCCTGGCTGCACACTGAAACCTTCTAGACAGGCAGAGTCTGTATGCATCACTCTGGGTCCTTCGGTTGACCCTATGGCTGGGCCTCGGTACTTTGTTTTATTTTGCTTGTGTTTGTGTTTTGATTTGGTAATTTTTCTAGATGATTCTAAATTTCCCTCACAGCTGAGAACCATGATATTAGGGAAACAATTCCAAAGTTTGATACCGGTTACTTTTAAACACCTTAAAATATGTTAAGAATTCCAAAAAAAAATATTTTTCTATGGGGCTAGTGTCTATTGACCATTTATTTCCACTAAACATAGTGAATGAAAAAATTTGAATATTTATTATTTGTTGTAAAATAAGATAAGCCAATTACAAGTTCATATAAACAATATAACCCTGGTAGGAAAATAATAACTATTTTACAAAATGAAAAATTCATGAAGTGGTATCGCTTTGCATGTTCCTTCCATCCTCTTGAAGTCTGGTTTCGCATGTGTTCCTTCATTCATTCTGTGCTAACATGTCACCAGTGTTAAAGGACTGGAAGAAAGTAGATTCTTCATAACAGTTTGTGGTTAAAACAGGAATATTTGGTAACCTTACTGAAGGCAAATATCATGAATATTCCTTTGAAACTATGTGCCCATCTCTATAAGCTTCTTCAAGATCAATTGCAATATGGAATCTGGAATTAGATTAGTGAAGAACTTCTGTACTATTTGCATAAATCTTAGATCTATGCCTAAGCCTATAATATCACAAACTGGCTGTTTGGGAAATGCTGTCTCATTATGTTTCGTAACACTTGCTGATGTCTGTTGATTTCTTTATGTGACACCAAAATATCATATTTATATGTCACACTGGAAAAGATCGTGGCTAGTATACTAGTTTTCCAAAGATCCAACTTTTGCTTGAAAAATCAAATTTATTATTGGCACCATATATGGTCAGGTGTTTTCTATGAGGCAACAGATTAATTCTGTAAATTCTAAAGAAAATATCTGCCCAAATATCCAAGCTTAAATAAGTGTAGTTTCTTTTCTTAACTTTTCTCCAAATAAAATGGTATTTCAAGAAAAAAAAATAGGTCAGTGCATAACCAATTACATACATGGTTTTCTTCTGCACAACTATATTGCAATATTCCATGGGATATCATATGGAATATTATAAAAGATGCACAGTCAAAGTACAATACAAGCAGCAGCTTTGGCTGCTCCATGGAGATGGTCAGAGATAAAACTTCCTGCTTGTTCCTTTCCCCTACAAGTGCATAGCTGTGCAGAGTACCATGAGATTTCATGCAGTGCCTCTTCCCCAATTCCCCCAGACCTAGCAGTCTTACCTTATGCTGACTTTGCTTCACCAGTGCCCATTTAAAGACACTGACGGGACAAATGAAGTCCTTTTACTTAAATATTCTTGACCTCATTGGCCACCGGAGGGTGTTTGTGTATTATGCTTTGAAAAGTGCCAAGTGAGAGGGTTTAAAACGAGGGAGAAGAGAGAAAGCTGTTCCTCCAGGAAGTGTTTTATGACCACTCTCAGGAATTCATCACTATTGTGAAACGAGGTCCCTGTGACATGTCTGATGCTGCCAGAGGCAGAGGGCCAGCTGTTCTTTGTTCCCTGGTACCTAGCATAACACAGAGTAAAGGCTCAGTAAGCTATTAAATCAATTTAAATGATGACAGGGAAGTGTCTATTTGTGCTGTGTTACCAGGACCTACAGGACATCTAAAGGCCTTTGAGGATCATAAGGTTGCCAACTAACTTTACACAAGTATCAAATTCTAAACTATAGATATTGTAAAACTCCTGAAACTCAGTAGATGGGGGATAAGAACTAGAGATGTTGAGGTCTGCTATGGATGAGATACCATGTCTGATAGTCTTCATATGAAACCACCTCAAGAGCAGTAGTAGGTCTGCCCAACAAGGAGCCATACTTGAGAAGAACTCATAGGCACAGCCAGTTCTCTTCTGCTCACAAAGGGCTCACAAAGGAAGTGGATTGTGACACTTCCGTAGGTCAGGGATCAGATATCTATATTATGATTCACAACAGAGCAAAAATAGAGTTATGAAGTAGCAGAAAAATAATGCTGTAGTTGGGGATCACCACAACATGAGAAACTGTACTGAAGGGTCCATTGCTAGGAAGGTTGAGAACCACTGCTCGAGAGCCTGTTGGGTTCTGTGTCTTTGGGTTAGTTACTTCCCTGTGCTTCAAATTCTTCAAAGAATTTTGAAAGCAAATGTGTCTGATGCGCACAGTCATGATAAACACATACAAGTCATAATAAACATTAGGTCCAGTTATTATTTCATTCTCACTCACAGCTCTAGATCTCAGGTAGAGAGAGAAGTTATGGAGTTTATTTTACACAGAGACTGGGGCTCAGGAAAGTAAGGCGGCATAGTTAGATCTCTGGGAGTGGATGGCAGATCTGGAGCAGCCCCGACATTCCAACTACATGCCTGAGAAGAGGTTTTAGGTTCTGTGGTATTCTTCAGAGGCGATCACTCAAGGTGCAAGCATTTTAGGAGGAATGGTTTTAAGATAGAAAGAGAAAGTGACCCAAATGGCTGGAGATCTAGCTCAGTTTGTGGAACACCGCCATAGCACGCCCAAAACCCAAAACTATATCCTAGCACTAAATAAACCAAGTATGGTTGTCATGCCTCTAATCCCATTACTTGGAAATTGGAAGCAGAGGAGTCACAAGTTCAAGGCCATCCTCAGTTATATAGCAAGTTCAGGGCTAGCCTAGGCTACATGAGATCTCATCGCAAAAATAAACACATAAATAAAAGTCAGAAAGATAAATCATCTATGCAGTTTCTACCTAGAAGCAGGAACACAGGAGAACATGTATCCTTGATAACAGGAAGGATTTTCCCAAGGCTATGTCAGTACAGAAATGAGAAGAACACTTGAGAAGTCAGAGACAGCGCAGGAAGTGGTGGGCACGTGGGGAAGGGAGAAATTGCTCTGAGTGGCAGATTATACGAAATGATCTTATGAGGAATGGACACAGCAGCAGCCAGCCCTTAAGATTACCATCACTGCCGGGTGGTAGTGGCTCACGCCTTTAATCCCAGCACTCAGGAGGCAGAGGCAGGCAGATCTCTGTGAGTTCGAGACCAGCCTGGTCTACAAGAGCTACTTCCAGGACAGGCTCAAAAGCCACAGAGAAACCCTGTCTTGAAAAAAAAAAAAACCTAAGAGGGGAAAATTACCATCACTTAAATTATTGCTACAAACTCCGAGTCATCTAAGTCTGGACAAAAGTCATTTTGTATATTAAGGTAGATGTTTTAAATATCCCATCTTAATCATTTGTTTTCCTTTTCCCATTTTAATTCTAGTTTGGGGTCCTCTTGGGTACCATGCTCTACTGGAGCAGAATTGAATATTAAGCACACGGTGTCCCTGTCACACCTCCTTCTTCGGATGACTCTGGATTTGGTGCTGGAACCTGCTGTTTCGTCACATGCCCTCTGTGTGCTCTGCGGTGACATATGCTTTTCTCACTCAAATGCCAGCTCAGGTGGAAGGGGCTTCCTTTAGGCTCTCAGGCTGCTGCAGTCCTCAGTAGAAATATTTCTCATCCTTATCTAACATTCTGCAACGTATTTATACACTATAAGGCAGAGAATGGAGATGACTCTCATTCTTGTTTATGTTTAATGTGGGGGCACAATGACATTCAAAGGAACCTGCCTCACCATCGTAAGCTGTATTTAATAGCAAGAAACAAGCAGCCCTTATATCTTACTATTTATTCTATCTTGTAAGGTTTTTGTTTGTCACTATATGGACTGGATGAGAGAAGGATGGGAGATTGCAGAGCTGGTTCTGCTATAGCTTCTGTCCACACTAGTGGTGGCCATGACACACCCACCACCTTTGGGACAATGCTTCATTTTCACTTAGTAGGTATTCAGACTTCCTCTCCTGCCCTGTAGGGTGGCATGCATTTAGCAACTTCATTCTCCTTTAAATGAGAGTGTGTAATCTTTAGGGACATTGGCACTGCCCATTTTGCATCAGCTCAGTCTTTGCCCTCAAAGATTTCAACGTGGAGATCCAAACCATCTATTTGAACTGGTGATTTATAGGGACTTCTGTTTGCTGTCCAAATAGTTGGGTCCTGAAGGAAGTCCGGACAACTCACTCTTGTTTGCTTACCTATAAATAAAAGAAGCCCATAAAACACACACGCTCATTTTCTTTTATTTTACCTGGTCCTGCTTGAATCTAACAAAACGGGGTTTCCAAAAGCAAAGCCCCAAGTATGGGGGTTAAAGAGGAAAGAGTAGGAGACACACCTGTGGGTTCCTGCTGGCCGGTGCATTGTCCACGTGGACAGGAAATGGCTGGAATTCTCTCTCCTTTTTCTTTTCCCTCCTGCTACATTGACCTTTGAGGCTATTGCTCTCCTATACTAGGAGGCAACATACATGATGCTAACAGCCCAACTGTGTTTCTTATGCAGAAAATGCACCCATCACTTAGGAACAGTTAACCCAGGCACAGGAGGTCCTGCCTCACCAGCTCCCTATGGTTAGGCAGAACACTGGGACAGAGGAACAGTCCGAAAAGAGGCGTGGACTCCCTTAAAGCAGAAGCCTGCTCTCTGATCCCCAGCACAGCTTGCTGCCAACCCTCTACCTGGCTTTGTCTCTCTGAAGAAGGCACCGTGGGTGCTAGGATAACACCTGCACTTGGCACAGAAGCTCCTCTGTGTTTCTTAAAAGGAGGGGGGAGACGTGGAATTAAACTTTCTCCTTATCTTTCCTGTCTGATGATGATGGTGTGTACTCTGCCCACTAAGTTATATCCATCCTGGTATGTTTTGCTTTTCACCATTAACTAGGTTTCCCAGGGGGCTCCACTAGATGAGTGATTCCTACTCAACCCTACCCCTGCCTTCCCACTCAGAGATTTAAGTTCCAAAATGCTGTCTGTTGTAAACCTTCATCTCTTTGTGATTGGTTCTCGGCCTCAAAAGCACTGTGTAGAAAGTTCAAGTCCCATTACCCACAGAAAACTTTGTTCCTCCCCAAACCAAGGAGCAATGGATGGTAAGCCCAGCCACCCCAGTGGCAGAGGGCAGTGCATAAGAGGGATAAGCCTTAGTCTCCCTCTGCAGCTTTGTGACCTTTTCAGGCCTGGGCTGTGACGACTGGGACTACTCCCTTCAAGTCACCCAGCAATTTCTTCACGGCTGCTTCCCACTTCTGTCCCCACCGCTTCCCCTGGTGCCTGTGGCTTCCCTCTCCTCCTCTGGACTGGAAATAGGGTGGCAAGCCCCAGACCCCAGCTCAGCCCTCCCAGCCCAGGGAAAAGAGGCCAGAGGACTTGGCTCTGGGGAGAAGGAAGGCTGCTGTCCTTGAGAGCCACCCAGACATGCCATCTGTGAAACCTTCCTTTTCTCAGCCATTAGCCTGTCCACCAATTACCACCAAAGCCCAAACAAGTCTGGGGCAAGTTTTATTGACTGCAACACAGAAAGGCCATCCTGTCTGGTCCTCCTTATCATTAAGCTCTGGCAGCCTGATTATGTTTAATACTTCAAAGCTCACTGCTTGAATTTGTCAGCCCTGGAACCAGAATCAAGAGTCTGCTTCTGTTTGAAAAGAACATATGCTCTCCAGCTATTCATAAGTAGTATATAAACTTGGAAAGCTACTGCCTCGTCTAACCCCACCCCTACCTGTCTGATTGACAAGCAGGGCTCTGGTGGGAGGACTAGAAACTAACCCCTAACCTGCTTCCTGCTATAAAGGATTGCTCTCAACCTGAATCTCCTTTCTCTTTTCTGCTTCACCTCACTTGGCTTCTTATCCACTCCTAGGAAACAGGCTAGGGAACATCCAGCAACCACCACATAAGCGGTTGAGTCTGGTTTCATACACGTTGATCTGAAGGCTCAAGTGGTCAGATCCAACAAAGATAGCCAGAAAAGTCTTTAACTCAGAACAGATGTCAGCACAGTAATGTGGGTTCTTTGAGGGCAATGGATCCTTTCTTGCTTTTGAGGACCTTAACTGGGAGTTGAGTGCTATGGTTTGCACTGTGGTGCTTTATATAGGAGTGGACCTCATAGGCTCAAATAGTTGAATGTTTGGTCATTAGGGAGTAGTGCTACTTGAGATCAGGACATGTGTACTTGGTGGAGTGGGTGTGTCCTTTTTGGAGTGGGTGTGGCCTTGTTAGAGTAGGGGTAGCCTTGTTGAGCCATGGTTCTCCACCTTCCTCGCTCTACAACCCTTTAATACAGTTCCTCATGCTGAGGTGCCCCCAACTATAAAATTATTTCTCTGCTACTTCATAACTATAATTTGCCACCGTTATGAATTATAATGTAAATATTTGATATGTGACTCCTATAGGGGTTGTGACCCACGGGTTGAGAACCACAGTCTTAGAGAAAGGCAGTGCTGCCAACACATGGGAGATGTGCTCGCTCAACCAGCCTTCCTCCAGGCCACAGTCCCCTTGCCTGGCATGTCAGGTACTTGCACCTGTGTACACACACACCTACATAATTACTAAAAAGTAACCGAAGGATGTGAGTCAGTAGCACAGCATTTCCTAGCATGTGTGAGGTTCAGCACCATTAAAAATAAACAAAAATACGAGGAGCGGAGTGGTGGCTCAGTGATTCAGAGAGCTTGCTGCTCTTACCAAAGACTCAAGGTTGGTTCTCAGCATCCACGTCGGGGGCTCACCACTGACTGTACTTCCAGTTCCAAGAAATCTGACACTCTTTTCTGGCCTCTTCAGTCACCCACATTTATGTACACACACACACACACACACACACACACACACACACACACACAGTCTATTTTCTAAGAGACAGAAATTGACACAGACTAAGCATTCAGTTGTGCCCTACCCTTCACTGACTTTTCTAAACTCCCGAACTTCACACTTAGACACAGGCATACTTAGGGCTCAGGACTTAATGAATTTTCATCAGCTGTCAATGGACCCTTTGTCTATCCAGGTGTGCTCCTGGAGGTGGGACCTCTGTGTCACTCATATGAGTGCATTTTGGAGACCTGCCTGACTTTCTCAGCAGACGGGAGTTATCCCTTTACTGTAAATGGTGAAGTGCAACAGTTTAAACTATCTTGGCAAACGAGAACTTGATATTTTCTATCTTACAGCATACATGGATGGCTCTTGGTAGGGACTGTGCTTCTCTCAGACCTGGGGAAAAGTGGAAAATGTGAGTCTAGCAGAAAATGTCTTTCATCTCCTTCGGGAGCCCATTCATGGGAAATGTGGGCATTTTCCTCCATGAAACGTGTCCACCTGGGATATAAAAGGAAGTGTGTGTGGTGGGTAAGGGCCAAATAAAGGGTGGAGAGCAGATGAACACTTGAAAGTCATTTGGGGGGAGTCCAGAAGATACCAGATCTCTGTAACAGTCACAATAGGGATACAGATTCAGGGAAGCTACCCCCAAAGAATGAGGCCCAGACGAAGACATGAAAGAACAGTCTCACAGTCAGATGACTTGAGTTTGGGCTTGACTCACCACTGCTCAACTGTGAGATTTCCAGCAGCTGCCCCCTTCACTCAGCCCTGTAATCTCAGGAGACCCTATAAAAACATTACCACCTGTAGGCACCGTAGAAATGAGTGCCAGCCTAAGAAATGTTTAAAAAGGGAGACTTAAAGCCTGTGCAGCAACCACTCATGACCACAGGAAGTTTCAATGCCCCAACAGCCAGCACTCACTTGGCAACTATGGGTCGGCACATCTACCTTTAATGTTCAAAATGTGTGATGCTATGGCACTGACTGTGACCAAATACATTTGCAGGAATTGGGAGCTTGGCTCCTTTGGCCAGCTAGGTGATGGCAATTAACACAGGCCTCAGCCCCTCACTGGGCCTTGGACTACCTGCATGAGTCAACTGGCACAAACCCAAAAGGTTACCTTCATTACACATTTTCCTGGTTGGAAGAATTAGCTGAAGAAAAGTCAGAGGCAGAATTTCAATGGTTCCCAACATTTCGTTCATGCAGATGCCTGTGACTAACAGCAAAAGGCAGGGGTTTCTATAGACAGTCACTAATATGCCGCTTCCACCAAGAAACCGGGTCTCAAATCCCCTACCACACCACTCTTTTCTGGTACCTTCCCCAGCCACTTTCAGAGACCCTCTGCCTCCAACCTTCAGACCTTCATCAAAGGAAGCAGGACAAAATACCAAAGTCTCTGAGTAAAGAAAGGAAGTGGGAGGGGCTTCTCACTACATATGCCACTACCAAATCTCCCAAGAATACAACTCCTTTCATAAGGTTTGGCACGAAAACAAGAAAACCATGGGTATGGTTTTGTTAAATAAAGAGGGGAAAAAAAACTTTTACTTCCTATGCAGAGTTATTGATAAGCCAGACTAGCCCTAAACAAACCTGCCAAGCCTATTAAAAAAAAAAAAATTCAAATCCTCTTCCTCATTTGGTGGTGTTCACTCCAAACTCTCCCTACTCCTCTTCCTATTTGGCAGGATTCTTATTTACTCTTCTCAAGTGACTATGGTGGTGCATGGGATGATGATGGATTGAGAGAACCTGGGATACAGCCACAAAAGACTTAACAAACCCCTGTGTTAATTACTTATCCATCCATCCACCCAAGCAAATGAAATTGTCTTACTACTGTGGCTCAGAAACAGAATGGTTTCTATACCCTTCCTTTTATTTCCCCAATACCTTTGCCCTGCTCCCCAGGGAGCCTTCTCTGTCAAATCTCTCTAGGTTCTACATCAGCACCAAAATCTCAGCATTATTCCAAATGACTGGCCCTGCCCCCTCAAGGGCCTCCTGCACCCTACCTGAGCACCAGCTATCTAGGAGCACTCCCAAAGCCCTGTAGTTCCCACTTCCAGCTGTGAAGGACACACTGTGGAATAAAAACAATAAGAATGCAGAGAGGCCAGGGAGTAAGGCTGAGATGTGACTTGATGCAGTTGGCTATGGAGGCCAGAGGCGTAGGGTCCCCGGAAGCAGGCAGGTGTAAGGGAGTGCTGGGAACCAAATTCAAGTCCTCTGCGAGAGCAGACCATGCTCTTACCTACTGAAACATCTCTCCAGTCCACTGTTTTGTTTTAAAGATGTTTAAATTTAGAGGCGCTGAAACGAATAAACCTTTGGCCTAAATGAACAGCAGAAAACAAGACGAAAAGCCAGAAGCTTTTTCATATTTTACTACAGAGGTACTCTATAGATGTATTATCAGTCATTGTGTAGCTTATAAACCAATCATTCATATCTTACATGTACAAAATCATTTTATATAAAAAAAAAAAGCTTTAAAAACTAGGAGAGAATGTGTTCTCTGAAGAGACTGGGTACATTCAAGGTCGGGTGGCAACAGACTGGAAGGTGTTTCTGAAGAGGAAGCATCCACCACAGGGGATTAGAGGTAGCAGCTGGCACAGCCACTGTGGCCAGTTCATGCCACACTCCACCCTTAGCCACCTCTTCATTGTCAAGTTGGTGGTATCGGATTCTTGACTCTGCTCCGCTCCTCTATGGCTTTCTTCTCATCCAGAATCCACCACTTCCCCGATGGCCATATAGGATACGTGAGTAACAGAAACACAGCTTAGTACCTTTCTATCTTAGGCCCAGCAATTCTGGCTCTTGGAGACACTTGAGGATTTTATTCCCTGCTCTTTGATCTCATAATGAACGGTGAAGTCAACCCTTCAGGGACAAGGTTCCCCAGCTGCCTCCATTGCATCCTTTGATCGCTAGTCCTTCAAGTATGTGCTTTACAAAGCTTCACCACCGTGATCAAAACAACTAAGAAAGCTGCCTTGCTATGATGGTTCTACATTCTACATAACCAAGAGCTCTGCTGAGAAAACAGAAAATGGAAAGATTTGGCCCGATAATTAGCTGGAATGAGTTCATAATGTGTACTACTATGGAAGTCTCTAGGCCAAAACTATTACAATCAAATCATCAGTTCTGAACATCATCCAAAGATCCAGGTCACACACCAGTCCAGAAATCCACTGTGATGTTGATGTATAAAGGATTGTGCTCCACAGAGAGTAATCTGTAAGAACAACTTGATAAGCCATCTGTTTTCCAGACTCGTGACATCTGGTGTAACAGCTTCATCCTAAAAGGAGCAAGAAAGAAGGATAAAAATGAGAACATAGCACAAATCTCCACTGCTTTCTGTCCTGCTCCAAAGTATAGCACAAGTAGTTTTATAATTTTCTATCCCTTTTGAGATCCCCATTACAAAAAAAAAAAAAAAAAAAAAAAAAAGTTTCCCTTAGTGAATAGGCATTAATGACAGCTGTGTATTTGTGGATCAAACCCTACTTCACACCCTGGAACAATAGTGGTTGTTGCCTCCAATGGGCTCCCATCTATAGGGCAGAGGGATTGCAAGAACCACTGATAGAAACAGGGTGTGTGCTGCTCACTCTGAACAGGTCCTTGGCTGAGCATCAGGGGATCTCTGACCATTCCACTACTGTGAGAAGAAAGCTGTCTATAGATAAGAGGGTACATAGCTTTCAAAAGAGTCGAGCATGCATGCATGCAGCAGGATAAATTAAGGAGCACCTTATTTCCTGAAAGAGCCTAGGGGGGAACATTGAGAAGGTCAGTTTCACTGAAGCTTAAAGACATGAAGTTCACAAAGTAAGAAAGGATGCTCTAAGGCAAAGACTGTTTGGGCAATAGGCACAGGTGGACAAAAGAACAGGATGCGTTTGAGGACAGATAATCCACCCCTGTGGCTGGAGATGAGCAGCAGGGGTAGAGAAGTGAGCCCTGAAGAGTTCTCTAAGAGCTCAGCCATGACAATGACAACACGGGTGGAGAACGGAAGCACAATGGGGAGCTATACAATGTCCAAGGGGAAGAAATACAGTATGGTTTCACTTAACACAGTTGAAAATGTGCAAAACTATTTCCTATTTTATTTAGGAATATAAACTTATGGAAAACAATAAACCAAGAAACAGCCTAAAGAATTAGCATTATGACAAATAATTATCTCAAAGTTCAGGTGTCACCTATGGCAGGAGTGGGTGTGAAGAAGATGGTGTGGGTTTAGGGAGGGCACATGGATATAGCTAAGAGGTCTGTCTGGGTATCAAGGCACTTCATACTTGACACACAACTTATAAGTATTCTATTGGAAATATCAAATAGCAAACAGAAAAAAATGCACCACTATTGATAAAGACTGGCATGGAATAGAAACGTCTATTCTTTTGGAATTACAGCCTCTAACAAAAGAGCTAAAAGATTGTTAACATATAGAGATTAATAGAGGAGCAAGAAATTCTTGAATACAGCTTTTCAAAAGGGAAAAATCAGAACAACAATAACAACAAAAACCTAAATTTCTTCCAGCAGAGCTACAATGTGTTTATCTGCCAGAGTTCCTCAGTGAATAGGCCAAATGGGGGCTGGAAAGAATAGGACAAAGCTAGGATATTGCCTCTCTGCAGAGCACAGAGCAGGGAGCTCCCAAAGAGCATCCTGGGGACTCAGAATCCAGTGGGAAGTGCTCCAGCTGGTCAAAGTGGAGACCATTTTCTTTTCATGAAGAACATGAACTATAACAGAAGGATGCCTAAGGGTACCCAATTATTATTCTGGAAGATGATCCATCAGTGATGGGTACTCACCCTTCAGTCCGCCCTTCCTGTAGTAACTATACCCCAAGGAACTCAAACAGATAGGAGAGTGTGTCCTTCTTTGTAAAAAGATTTAATAAATGAAGATGAAATGTTAGAATCGGGATATTACAGTTTTGCAATTCTTGATTGAAGTGATGAGCAACAGGACCTGAAAACTCATTGAACATGTGTTGATGTAATGAAGTATCTTGTTAATTTTATTTTAGGTGTGACAATGGCACTATGGTTCTTAGAGGACTTTTTATATTTTAAGGACACCTGTGAAAATCCGTACACACAGATGCTATGACAAAGAATCCAATGGGCAGAAGAGAAAACCAGGACAAGGCAGAGAAGCCAGGAGTTCACAATCACAGAAATAAGGGTCTATGTACTATCTTCCCTTATTTGGGCTCTGCTTTAAAAGCTCCTTCATACACAGCTTTTAACAAGGTAAACTGGCTTATGTGATCAATGCAGCATGGTGTGTTGGCTACCAGGAGACTCAGCACCCAGCGGGGTGCTAGGTGGGAGAATTCAGGCCTTACCGGTCCACATTTACTTCGTTGCCTTTGTCTCTGGTGTGGAAGATCATTGTGTATTTACCCACATCAGGGTTGGGCCGGGAGATTTTCATCTTATGGAGCTCAACCCTAGAAAAATATCGAGGGTTATTTTGAAATCTTGTTCATCTATTTGCCACTGAACACTTAAAAATGTTCGTTAACTGCAATTAAACACACACACACACACACAAAGGTGGCTGGCACAGTGTGATGCTACCCACGTGCACAATGAGATGTATGTAGTCATTGTCCCTGTCCTCTGTATCCAAAGTCCACCAGATACTTAAATTAACAAGCAATGCATTCTATAACACCATGTGATTTCTAAGAAAAAAAAAATCTGCTGCAAAACTCTCAGCATACTATTTTAGAAAAAGATCATTCAAACACTAAAAGAAGCTTCAAGTGGTAACATACACCCGTGCTTCCAGCAGGTTGAGTGGGGATGCTGACCAGAGACAGGAAGAGCAGTGAGATATTGAGGCTAGCCTAACCTACACAGTAAGATGCAAGCTGACCTGAAGTGCAGGTGAGATCCTATATCATAAACAAAGAAATAATAGTTAACATTTACTAGTTGAGAAATGCCAATTTGTAGTTGTTTTTAAAAAGAGAGAAAAATCTAATGAAATGTTAATTTTAATACATTCCAAAGAGCAAGATAAACAAGTCTGTCAGGCCTTCTGATTAATAACATTGTCTCATCACAAGGAAAGGAAGGGCTGTGTAAAGTCATACTCTTGAAAGCTATAAACCAAGGTTCAATCTAAGCTCCATAACTGACAACTTCTTTGGGTCTGCTCATCCTACCAGATGTCAGGCTTGTCCAGGAGGGAGACTGGTGACAAAGAATACATTTCAAAGGCCCACGAAACAGGATGCAATGGCCTGTGCTTTGCAGATGGCAATACACTCTGTAGGAGCACAGGCATGGTGCTCAAGGCTAGCAGATCTCAACCAATGTGTGTTCTGTCCTTCCCGGCCTACCCAGTGCATGAATGTCAATCTGTGCTGAGACCATGGTGTTCCCATGGAGGCAGGACAGAGAGACAGAAAAGCAAAAGGACATGGGAAGAGGAAGGCCCTCACCCTGGGATCCAGTTGCCTTTCCTGCAGACAGAAAGGAAGCTTCTGCACTGCAGATAAGGCCAAAATTGCCTGCAGAGATAATGCAGGTTTTCCTATAGACACCTCAAGCTACAATGTTAAAAACAGCAAACAGTGTCTGCCTAGGGCCAGAACCTTTATACCCTTGAGTTTGTCCATGGTAGCACTCCTCTCATTCCTAAATCTAAATAACTCTCCTCCTAAAACCACATTCCAACTTTATTTGCAAAAGGAAATTCTGGGAGAGAAATAAGTAAGCCATCTCATAGGCTATTAAACGCTACTTAAACGTTAAGTTCTGCTTAACCTTTAAACCCTGTTGTAGGGCTGGAAAGATGGCTCGGTGGTTAAGAGCACTGCTTGCCCTTCCAGAGGACCTGAGTCCTCAGCACCCACATGATGGCTCACAACAGTCTCCAGTCCCAGGTGGATTCCAACACCCTCTTCTGGCCTCCACTGGCACTGAATGCATGTGGTACACAGATATGTCTGTGCATACAAGACACTCATACATATAAGGTAACAAAGATTAAAACATTTTAAACTCTTGTTGTAATTTATGCCCTTTAAGCAATCTGACTTAGAAACCCACAGGGTCAAGGGTGTGTACATTTGTGTGCATGAATGTGTGCACACCAGACAGCTAAGAGTAATCTCCCATAGAGAAGCCCACACCTACACAGGGGTATGATTTATTGCCCCCCCCAAAAAAAACATTTAAATGAACACCTGCACCTAATCTATATTACCAATGCCTTTAAATAAATTCCCATTCTATTGGCTTATCCTGAAGTTCTTTTCTGCAGGGGGCAGAGATCTCTGAAGAGAACCCTGGAGCAGAGATCTCTAAAGAGAACCAACCGCTGAAGCTGCTGAAGGCGGCCCCCAACCACTGCTGACACGACACTTACCAAATGAAACCTAAACCGAGGGTCTCCCTCTCCCTTAAAGCTGAGGAACAGCAGGACAGGAGACAGCGAGGGACATTACCATCATAGTAACTGTCTATGATAGTTCAGCCCCGCTAGGTGTTGCAGTGGACTTGGGGAAGAAGAGAGTACTGGCTCCTTCTAACTCTTTCTATCCCTACCCCAATCCAGCAGTCTGTGTGACCACGGATGGTGAGGGCATGGAGCCCTCAGGCAGGAAAACATACCTCTTTCAGAAACATTGCAATGGCCCTGCCCAAAGGGAACTGATCAGCATGAAGCCTTCAGTTCCTTCCTACCAGCACAGCGGGAATTTGATAGCCACACATCTATTCATTCAAAACTGCAGTTTGGAACATACTTCCCAAGGGAAGAGGAAATGGTCCCCTGACTGCGAGAAGGGCCTTGTGATGACAACTCTGACATACAGACCATGGGCTTTTGAATAGGAATTTTCTAGGCAATGGGAAAGCTATAACCGTCGATAGACAAAAAATAAATTAATAAAAAAAAAAAAAAAAAAAAAAAAGGAAAGTTCTGAGGAGGGAAACAGAGGTGGCCAGGCAAGCAGTCAGGGGAGTTTCTCTTGGTCATTCAGGGCAGAAGGCTGTCTGAAGGGATCCAGGTATTACAGCAGTTCAGGGTGAGCCTTCCAACTCAGGAAGCCAAAAGACATCCTTTCCTTCTCTGGGGCATGTATCTCCTCCCTAGAAACAGCACTCTGCTCCTCATGCTGGGCACAGTGTCAGGGCCCCGGGGATCCGAGGAAAAGCATGAGAATTATCAGAGAGTTTGGGACTGCCCACACACTAGTGGGCCCTAAGGCCCCCACCAACATGCACCCCAAAGTCAGCAACAGACTATCCTCCTTAGTTTCTCAGCTCCCAATGACAAAGAACAATTTCGGTCATTCTGCCCTCCCTCCACACCTCGCTACCCTTTTTCAGCCAAATGCTGTAGCCTCATGACCTGCTGGCCTGGCATTCACAGGAACTACACATAAGCACCGGTTTCCAGAGCCACCATGGTAGCAGAGCCCCAGGAAGGCCCCCTTCTCTGCTGTTCACCTGAGTCTGAGGTCATCGTCTTCGCCTCCCCATCCCCAGTAGTTGTTAGAGAATCCATTCACCTTGAAAAACTGTTCTCTGCTGAGGGCAGTAACACCCCCGAAATATTTATTGTAGCGCAACCTGCAGCACAAAGAGAAGGGAGAGAAAAGTAGTGACATTTGGCACAAGGACCCTTTGTTCCCACAGGCACTCTGGCTGCCTCTGCTTCTGGGGGTAGCATCCCAGAAAGTCTTGAGGAGAACACACTTCTGTTCATTTCATCCATTTAGTCTTTTCTCGTGTCTGCCTCCCAGTCCTCCTGGCACTCAAGTTGCTGTTGATATCACTAAGCAAGATGACCCCACATACCTGTTATTGATAACAGGTAAGGGTACCTGAGGAGACTACTGTTCAAATGTCTGTGAGCTTTCATTCCAGGTACCAATCCAACAAATGGTCACAGCTGCTAAGGGCACTAGGTGAGGAAGGATTGTGGGTTGCATCCATGTTCAGCATGAATGAGTCAAGGTGAATATTTTTTTTTCACCTTTCGCTTTTGGGAGTGAAGAAGTGTGAATCAGGAGATGGTTCCAGCCCACAATACGCAAGTGCTCACTCTGCAGATCTCCATCTTGGAGTTTTTTTTTTTCCTATAGAATTCACCACAACACCCCACTGGCCTGAACTGCTGGCTTGGGCAACTGGATGGGATACAGTGCCTTGCATGAAAATTGAGTGTAAAGAAGATAATTTGGTTTTGAGGGCAAGACAACAAATTATTCTTAGGCTAAGTTGGAGATGTTCCTGGGCCTTTTGCCAACAGGCAAAGGATGAGCAGAGTGCATGCTCACAAGACACCTGTGGCTACAGATAACTTGGCAGCTGTGAACACTTGAGGATGCCAGAGTAGAAGAGATGACTGGAAAACCAGAGTGGGCAAGAAGAGCTGAGCATGTGTGGGATGACTGTTGAGAGTAACACAAAAGAGCGTAGCTAAAGGCCGCGAGAAGCCGCGAGAAGGACTGGGAGACACATCAGAGAGTACCTCCAGGGTGAAAGGGTTCTTCGTGTTCTAGTGACAAGGCAACAAGCTGTGATGAGGCTAATCCTCAAAACAACCGACATTCTTTGGAAGTGCAGGTGGATGGAGCTATGGAACAATCATGGCACTGCATGGAGGATTTCTAACTTCAGTCAACTTCAGTGCTAAATGTCCGGGAGCCAACTAAATACTGACATTTCCCAGCCAAGAAGAAAAACCAAAAAAGAAAGACTCAGCACACTGTAGACATTTCCCACCTGACAAGTGAGATCCCTGAGGTGTCTCTGAGGCCGAGGACTTTCTCACTCCTAGTACAAACTAGTGACCCTAGTTATGGCATCATAGAAATAGAGTTAGTTATATTATCCAGATTATAATCATGACAAATATCCAAGGGAAACAACTTTAGAGGAGGAAAATTTTAATTTTGCCTCATACTTCCAATTCGTGGACAGCTGGCTCCATTGCTTTCAGGCCTGTGGCAAGTGAGAATTTCATGATGCAAAAGGTGTGGCCAGTGGAGAAGATTACTCACTTCTGGACAATCAAAATACAAAGATGAGGAAAGGGGACTGGACAAGATACACCCCTGAGAACACACTTCGAGTGACCTACTTCCTCCGAGTAGACCCCAGCTCTGAAAATATCCATCACTTCCCATTAATGCCATCAGATTACAAACCCATCCTTTAATCCACTGATTAGGTCAGAGCCCTCAGGATCTAGCTCTAGTGATGTCCTCATATGCACCCCTGAAGTACAATTGATTTCATCGGTACCTCTCAGTCTAATCAAATTGACAACCTAGACTGACTATCACAATTACATTAGTGCACCTAAAATTCTGGGAAATGGCATTTTCAACCTAAAACCAATAAAAAGAAATAAGATATTTAGAAGATGGCTATTACTATCATTTACTGGCAATGCTTGTGTCCCAAGATTCCCAGACTCTAGCTAATTGGGAAGGGACTCAACTACCAAAGCAGCAGCTACATCTAGACCCTGCGGATAGAAATATCAGCCCCACAAAAACCTTCCAGGCACCAAAGAGCAGTCTCCATGAGAGACCCAGCACACATGCTCTGAAGGGGACTGCCAATGCCACCACTCATGATGCTCTAGCTGCTGGCTGGGGCACAGTGCCACCATAGCTCTTCCCTCCTAGAGCTCGGAACTGAACAACCCCAGGGTTCTTGGAAAGGAATCACTGCCACATCAAGGGGAACAGAGCTTGGAACGACCTAGATCTGCAAAAAAGGGAGGATCTGGTGGTCAGAAGTTGGCAAGGACCAACATAGGCTAAGGAGCACTGCGACCAGTTCTGATCTGGGGAGGATCAGCAGATGCCTGGCGGGGGTGGGGGGAGGAAGGGGACTACATACCTACTCTCACCACAGCTATCTAGCACATGCCTCTGAACTGCCTTTTGCTTTTTTGCATTTGTTACATTTTAACTGGCCCTAAGGTGAGTTTACAAACATATTTTAAAGGGCTGTAAGGTCCCCAGAATGAGGAAAATGTAGTCATAGAGTTACAATAGAGTCCTTGGAGAAAGGGAGCAAATTCAGAGGAATTCCTGGCAGTAAAATTCACCATGAGGCTGAAATACTTGGGCAAGTTACTTTAACCTCCTCATGCCCAATGTGTAGCAAGTGAAAATATTTCTTGTTTGTTTGTTTTGTTTTCACAGTACAGGCCATTTATTCCTTCTTGTATATTAGGTCATGAATTCGTATGGAATGGACACCAGCAGCTCAGGCTCCTTCCAGTCAGTCCTCACACAGTGTGTGGCTCTGGGTAGAGCAGGTTGATGCATCAGCTGAACCCAGGGGCCCCTCTTTTTCTGCTTCATTTTTCTTCCATCATTTTCCTTCACCTGACACAGGAAACTAGCTCTGCTCTGGGAGAGTTGGTGTGCTTAATCCGCACATTAATTCCCTTGACAAGAATCTTGCCCTTAATTAGCTTGCTTGCAATGATGCCCCCACTGCATTATGGGTAGTATTGTGGACTCTTCCAGTTTTGCCATTTATGGGGCATTCCTTTTTGGACAGTGCCCATTCCCTGATGTTTACAGCATCATCTCTCTTGCAGACTTGTATTATGTGGCCATGTTTCTAAAAGGCCTGGGGCACATAGGGCTTCTGACCTTCCTCTTTCCCTTGTGCTTGTTTTTGGTGAGTTACTGGGAGATGGCTGCCATGGCTGAAAGAGGACAGTGAAGAAGCCTGAGCTGCTTGATGCTCCATGACACAGTGGCAACAGAGCTTCCAGCCAAGGCACTGAGTGCCTGCAACTGAATGTGCCAGCCACTGGCAGAATTTTGCCTATGATAGCAAAGTTAAGGAGATAGAAGTCCTATCTCTCTCTGGCCACAAAAAATGAGGCACCTATATGATGCATATAATAAGACAAGAAAAATTAAAGTCATAAAATTTGCTTAAAATGTAAAATCTAGGTCTGAACAGGGCAAGTATAACCTGGTGGTGGAGATCTTGCCTACCATATGAGAGAGAGAGAGAGAGAGAGAGAGGAGAGACAGATAGACAGAGAGGTCATGAAACAAGCTTATTTTCAGTTTTTAAAAGAGGGTCACAATTTTTCTCAGAGATTTAAGACAAAAGATGGGCGGGCATAATCAATTATGCAAGGGAGACAAAGGCGTGTGGGAATAGCAATGTCTGGCCAATTGTAAGGACAAGTTAAACTGCAAGATTCAGGCATGGGCTGTCTGTTTCAGAGTGCATGGCATCTGATGGAATCCATGATGTTGACACCAAAGTGAAAGTCAGAATCAGTTCCCAGCAGGAGTGGGCAATTATCTTTGCCCACTGAAGGCAGGTTAACAAAATGATACAATCTAGACTCTTAACAACCTGTGTAATTGCTCAGAAGGAACAGGAAGCTTCGGGTTCAGAGGCAGAGAGTCAATCCCAACCGGGCATACAGACTCTAGACATTTCTACATAGAAGGAGGGAGCAGAGAGGATCACTGGACCCTAGCCTCTGTTGCCAGTTACTCATCCCAACCATATGAATAAAATGCCCTAACTGCACGTGACCTTGAGATCTGAGGAGGTGCTAAGTTACAAGGGCTGAGGGAGGCTAACCCAATGGACCATCATGTCTATAGGCACAGAGAAGCCACCCTTAGTGCAGATGTCCAAGAGGCTGCTTTAGTGACATACATGGTCCTGCCGGTAGCTGCTCACCCATGCTCTATAAACAAGCCTAATAAACAGGTCATTCCTCAGAGTGAACTTCGGTGGAATCAAACTTTGCTTTGTCACAGGGACCTCAGAAGGAGGGGGCAGATGTGGGTTACACTCCTACCCTGGGAATTCCCATGGAAGTTACAAAAGAGTTCTCTTGAGTCCAAGGCAGAGATCTACCGGAAGACCAAGGGAAGGTGTCAAGAGACTCAGTTTCCCTTCTACCCTCTATATGCTCAGGCAGCGCCTCCCACCCTTTTCACGGTTTAGTTTATTTTCCTACGGACTTCTCCCTCCCTAAATCCCTCCCTCCCTCCTTCCCAAGTGCTTACAGCTGTGTTTGCAGGTTAACCATCTCCATAGGAGCTTCCTGTCTCAGTATATTAAACTGCCTTTTCAAACTGACTTCTTGGCCCCTAGCCTGGTAACCACACATGAATTGCAGGGCTTAGAAGGTGGTGACAGGGAAGTGTGCCCGCAATCAGTTTAATTTACCTAGAAGGTAGCTCAATCCCTATTTCCTTCAGTTGTGTTTGACTAGGAGCTTATATAAAACACAATTAAAATCATTTGTTCCTCTCCTGGGGATAGAAATGGAGAGGGATGAAAGAACGGTAGCATTTCCCATAGTGGCTTTGAAAGAAAGGAATTTGTCCTGATATCCTGATTCCCAATCAGACATCTGTATGCCACCTTTCCCTAGAACTCTGGCAAGCTATCCTAAAAGGAGTTGGCATGTCCAAGCACTGGCCTATGGGGGCACAATCACGTTGTCCAGTAGAGGAGATAGGGATAGATGGGCAGGTTACTGGAATTCTACTGTGGGAAAGCCTGTCCAGTCCCACTACAGGTGCTGCAGGCTGAGGCCATCTTCCTCTGGTTTTGTGCTTCTTGCCAAGGTTGTGGGAGGTCTTTTTTCTCCTTATTTCATCCTTTAATTTAATTGCTGTTCTGCACATTAAGGGAGATCTTCCCCCACCTTCTTTCCTAACTCGCTCCGGACAGCACATTACAGCCTTGGTCACAGTAAAATGGGATGCACGGCCCGAGCTGCCTTACCTGTAGCCAGTGCTGTTCCTGCCCACCACCAGGTGCTTGGGCTGATCACCACATGTGTAAAGGTTGAAGTCATTCTCTGGCACCAGGTCCACATCGTGGAATATGAAGCAATCCCAGTTCTGCTCCTTGAGAGCTTCCAGATAGCCCACATTCAGGAGCTTGGCTCGATTAAACTTTTTACTTCCAGTCTATTGAGGATGGAAATAAAAATGAAAAGAGCTCGGGAGATACAGCTCTCCCTTCACACCCATTTAAGAGAGGTATATTACCCTTGTTCATTCACAAGACAAGAGACACTAAGGATGTAACAGAGGAAATGCAATGATAATAAAAGACCAGCCTGGGCTGTGTGTTTCACACACACTTATAGTCTATAATTTAAAGGCAACCCCTTGAGCCTGGCAAGGTGTCTGATGGTGGCTAATTTTCTTAGAAAGACTAAAAAGTTTAGCAGATTGGTTGCATGAGAGCAAATTTTCGTTGTTTTTGTTTTTGAGACATTCCTTCTATAGACCAAAGTGGCCTGGAACTCACAGAAATCCTCCTGCTTCAGATTCCCACATGCTGAGATGATAGCATGAACCATCATACCAGAACAGAAAACAACATTTTAAAAAAATTATTCTCTCTCTCTCCTCTCTCTCTCTCTCTCTCTCTCTCTCTCTCTCTCTCTGTGTGTGTGTGTGTGTGTGTGTGTGTGTGCGCGCGCGCGCGCGCGCGCACGTGCACGTGCCTGCCCATGTGAGTATATGTGAATATAAGAAGTGCCCTCTAAGGTCAGAAGAAGGCACCAGGTCCCCTGGTGCTGGAGTTACAAGCAGTTGTGAGCTATAGGAATTGAGTGCAAGAAACCAAACTGACCTCTGCCAGAGCAGGATGTACTCATAACCACTGAGTCATCTTTCCACACCCAACCCCACCTCACATACTTAATCCTACAGAACAGTAAGCTTAAAAGCTCACAAGACAGTTTTTAAAAAAGGAAAAAAAACAGCTGAGGGGATACATTTTATGTAGTAATTTAGCACTAAAAATTAATGTTGCCTAAAAATACAAATAAAAATAAAGCAACACTAATCAATTGGGCACTTACATTCATTAAGAGGCTGGAGCTCATGTTACGTGTTCTAAACTCAATTTTAAAGTGTCACTACTAATTCCATGCTTGTCACACCAATTAGTGTCACTGCTTCCTGTCAGCTCTCTGCTGATCCCCAGCTAACCTCACATGCTGATACTGAACTTCCAAGAGACTAAGCTAAGGGCTCAACAGCAAGGATGAAGAAATTGTGGACTATCAACAGAAAAAGTTGTTGCTAATATTTCTAAGCTACTTAAAACTTTCTTGGAAATGGGTTAAGGGGGGAAAAATCTTGTTACAACACTAATGGCAAAGGTTATTCCTCAATGGCCTTGCAGAAGGATCTAAAGAAACTCAACCTGCAATATCATCAACACTTCACATGCAGTATGACCCAAGGACTTTTCAGTATTTGCTTTGTTTAAGGCAAATCAAATTCTGTAAGGAAAAAGTCTGAGTTGACAGTTTATTGTAACAAGGTTATAAGCAATTCTTAGACATTGCCACAGTACTTTCCTGAAAAAGTAACAGACTAGACACATTCCTGTCCTGTTCATACAAATTACAGAGGATCCAGACAGGCGTGATGGCACATGCTTATGAGCTCAGTACTCAGAGGCAGAGGCAGGAGGATTCATGGTTTCATCAAGCTAGCCTGGCCAGTCTGGGGGTGGGGGAGTGAGGGGTAGGCTAGGAGAAGGAGTAGCAAGGGGAGGTGGGGCTTGGGAGACCGCCACATATGCCTAACAACCTGAGTTCAATCCCCAGAACTCACATAAAAAGCCAGATGATTCTGTGACCAGGCAAGGCTTCGAGTGGAAGGACAGGGACACCAACCCAGACACAAAACCTTCAACCTACGATTTGTCCTGTCTGCAAGATGAGCTGAGGTAAAGATGGTGCAAAACTTGTGGGAGTGGCAAGCTAATAACTGGTCCAACTAAAGAGGAAAAGAGAGCCAGATGAGGTGCAAATACCTGCAATCCCAGCACTCCTGTGACAAGACAGAAGGTAGAAACAGAATTGCCTGGAGGCTCTCAGGTAAGCTACCCTGGAGTATCCACAACAGAAACAGTAAGAGAGGCCCTATCTCAACAAGGTAGAAGACACAATTCATGTTATCATGCACAAACGAGTATGGCACCCACGCAAAAATAATTTTGAAAACAAAATAATACCATATTTTGGTAGTTACCCATCCTGAGTAAGAACTCAAACTCAGTAAACCACAGTTTTGACCAATGACATTAAAAACAAAATTAATTCTAAAACAAAATGAGTGGGCTAGAGATTTAGCTCTGTTGATAGAATGCTTGCTGGCACCCATAGGGCCCTGAGTTCAGCTCCCAGCACCAGCAGAACCAGGTGATGCCTTCCTACTATCCAATATTTGGCAAGCACAGGAAGTAAGAACAATCACTGGTTTACAGAGGGTATGGGTTTGGTTCCCCACACCCTCCTGACAGCTCACAACCATCGGTAATTCCAGTTGCAGAAAAGCCAAGAGCCTCTTCTGACCTGGGTGGGCACCAGTCATACACGCAATGCACTTAGAGATACGTAGGCAAACACTCATATACATGTAATAAAAATAAATCTTTGAAACCGCTAAAGTTTTATTTCAAGTCCTAAATAATTGGACACAGATGTACTAGATTAAACCCCCTGATTATCAAGTCTCTCATAAAGTATGCACTAGACAGGAAAACCCATGAACTGTCAATTCTACCCAAAATTGTTATTATCTGCTACATCTGCTTTTAAGGAAGCAGTTAATGATTTTGCCCACACTCTTATTAGAGTTTATAAGGATATGAAGGGGTATCATTTAAATAGCCCAGGGCAAGTAAAAAGCTTAAGACACAGATGTTTAAACTGATGCTCTATTTTTCTTTTAATTAACTTTAACACCAAAAAGAGGCATCTTTACTCACCCACCATTAACTGACCGACCTTAAAGCTGAACTGTTCCAAGGCAGCCTACTGTTGGTTACATGCTGTTCCTACTAACTGCTTCTACAAGCCAAATGAGTGAGTCAAGAGAGTGAAAAGTAAACCTCATCTGAGATGATTAGAAAGCCACAGATCTGGCTGGCTGTACCACTGGCACTCTGCAAAATCGATCATGAGAGCTCTCTCCTGCACGGCCACATTCAACAGCAACAGGCAGAAGCCCAACCCCACATTGTGTAACAAACACTGAAAGCCCAGAAGGAACAGGACAGGCAGGAGAACTCAGGGGTGTGGATAGGCTATTGCTGGCTAACGTGAGAAGGATTACAAAAGCAGGCTTCCTCCCAGGGTACATTTTAGGATAGTAACATTTCATGGAGATCAGTCCGTGACTAAACATTCAGGATCAGAATTTCCTCTGCTCTCTTCTGGGTGAGGGAAGAAAACTCTCCCTTTGGTGATGATCCTTTGACCTCAAACAGGCAGACATACTGCTGCCTCCACGGCGGAGTACAGGGCCCAGGAAAGCCCCACACTCACCTGGTGGATGATGTAAATGCCATAGTCCAGCTGCTGCCTCTGCAGGAAGGGGTGCAGGTGCTCCAGCAGATATATGAGGTGCTTCTCTCTGTTCCGATGGGGAATGAGGACGGCAACCCGCTGCACAGCCTGACATCCCTCAGGGTGATACCGGCCTCCAGACACTTTGGGGTTTTTTGCCTGTACTTCCTCCAAAGTGAGGTCCGGCTCAAAAATGAGCTTGCTCTGGCCTCCTGCAATCACCATGGGAATCATGTCATAAGAGGGTCTATGGCACAAAGCTCTGGGGATTACACCACTGATTCAGATGAAGGGGGGTTGACCCTTGGCACTGTGAGCACCATAGGAGTTGCCAGCTTCTATTGCTCTCAACCAGTCAAAGTCTCATTTAGTCATGAACTATGCATAGAACGTAAGACGATGGCAGCCTGGTGAGGAAGCATGCAGCTGGTGTGTGAGAGCATCTCATGTGTCGGGAAGGTCAACTCGGGCTCTATGATCCAGTTCTGAATGAGGCATGTAGACTGCCCAGACACCTCACTGCTCACTAGAGATCTGAAAGGACTGGGCAACTCCTCCACCAGAAAGAGGGTGAAACAAAAGCTGAGAACATTCTATAGACTCCATTCCTGCCCGGGGGTGGGGGGATAGGGAGATGGGGTGTACTTTTTACTCTCACTTAGATCCCTGCAGGCAAGGTACTAGAAGACCCACCTGAATCCGTAGCCAAGGTTACAACTACATATACTCTGCAACTTCTCTCCCATAATACCACCAGGGTAAACATTTCCAGCTAAGCCAGCATCTGCCTGTGAAACTAGAGACTGTTCATGGTAATGAAACCTGGGCAAAGCTTCAAATATCAGACTGAAGTAACTCACCCCCACTTTCTGACCTGAATTCAAAGGGTTTGCTGACCAGTAAGGGAGGAGACAGAATTCTGCTTAGGAACTAAGATTAAACTTCCCTGTACTTTACAGCCCCTGTAAGAGCCCACATACACTGAACAGGCTTTCAATTCTCAAGCTGCTTACAAGTTGTTCATGTGGCCTTTCTCAACAGCCTAAGGCATTCTAAGATAGAGAGACTACAATCCACATCAGGCCCCAGGCCACCCAACAGACCACACTGTTAGAGCCACAGATGCCTGTCTTGGAGAGCAGCTGGACTACATACACAGCTAGAAGGGGCAGCCAGTATTCATACAGTTTGTTTACTGTCTCGCTAAGAAACACAGATGAGCACCACACTGTGACCAACACAGCAGGTGGAGCATACAGGGAGCTGAGATTTCCTGGGGCTGGGGCTCATTCCCAGGCAGTCACTGAGTCCTCCCTAGAAAAGGAATGAGGGACCACTAGACAGACATGGGCTGCAGAAAGGCATTCTGGGAAGGGGGACCAATATAAGGCAAGGCTTAAAGGGCTTTCTGGGAAAGGGTGAGCCCTGAAGAATCAATATGTGAATACTGATCCACACATTCAATATATGTAAGCATATATTGAAATGTACCATGCCCACTAAAACCAATGTATTGTTCGTTGAAGCTGAAAGGCAAGAAATCAATGGGAAATCAAAAACGTACAAGATCCTGAAGAAATAACCCTAAAAACAACACTGAAGAACTTGGTCCTATCTCTTGACTCCATACGTTTAGCCAAAGGGACACTAACAGACAAGGCACAAACAAAAGACCACACATGCTTTCATCTTCCACCATTAATCCAGGAGAGCGTGCCCGGGCAGTCCACTGTCTTAGGAAGAATATGGGAAACACATGAAACAGAACCATAAGTCCAGATCAGCCGACCCAATATAGCATGAATGCTAACAATCGCGTTCATTCATGTGATACTGCATATTGGTGAGAATCAACAAAGTAGAAGTTGAACACAATGTTGAGTCACAGCAGCCACACATAGCACATGCTCTCAGTGCCAGGTTCAAAGACCTTCAAACCCTGAAGTCAGGATATGAAATTAAAAATTCCTGGGAGACAGCATTTCTTAACTGGCATGCTGACTTCAAGGTACATCCATTTGCTGAAACTTAACTAGGCTGTATTCTGATTTTTTTCTTTTACTTCTTTGCATATCTGTTATATATATATATATATATATATATATATATATATATATGATATATTTTTGTAAGTACTTACAAAACAAAAACAGCAAATACTTACTGAGGTTTGGAGACACAGAAGGGCAGTTACCAAGTTCTATTTTTTCCATGATTGCATCATGGACCAGAGTTTCTTCCTTCCCCAAAGGTATGACCTTGTAGAAACTAGCCATGAAGACCTTTGCCTTAGGAATCACTTGAATAGGACCCACAAAGTAGTTGCTGGTGGCCCATCCAACCACAGTCAGGCACAGGGTAAAAATCAACAATAATCGTAATCTATAGGGTAGCAGGTATGGTGGGTTGCAGCCCATGTCTCTTATTTTATGAGTAGTGTGTATCTCTACTTCAGCTGGAGTGAAGAGGTTTCGAATTATACTTTGCCAGTCCGACTGAGAACGTGATGACAACTTAAGAAGCGATGTCTGCCATTGCCCGGCACTTCTAATCCAGAGAACCCTGAAAGGCAATCACAAAGGATGTGTTGTTTTGGGTGGAAACCCTGTCCAAGAATGACAGACCTCAGTGCACATTAGAAATACAATCCCTAACTGGGATTGGAATGTAAAAAGTAAATTAATAAAAAAGAAAAAGAAAAAAGAAACCCAATCCCGGTTGAGTTGCAGTCTCAGTGAGATGCTAGCCCAGGGCAGAGCCCAACAGAGGTAGAGTTGGACAAGAAACACAAGGGGACCCAAACAGAGGATGTCAACAATCTATGAGGCAAACAAGTAAAGATCGGGGACTATGGTTCAGACAGAAACCCAGGACCACAGGGCAGCCATGAGATCTATGCCCAGTTGCTTCACTGACCCCACCTTCCTTATCTGGAAAGTGGTGGTAAAATGAAACTCACCCAGATAGCATCTACCTTCCTACAGGGCTGGACTAGCATGTAAAGTACTGACCAGCCTCATGGCATACGCTAAAGTGTAAACGAATAATAAAAGACCCAGAGACTGATATTGGGGTTCAAACTTCAAGCTGAAGTTCAGAAAAGCAACTCAGCGGGCCACTAATTCTTACCTCTACCTCAGGCTGAAAGGGCTGACCTACGAGCTCTTTACTAAGCCTCAAACTGCTGCCTCTCAGTGTGGCTAGAGAATGAATGCCTCCACTCTACTGAAGACCCTGTTTCTTTCTTTTCTACCCTCTAGTGCCGGGATTAAATGTGTGAGCTCTGTTACTCATTTAGACTGATTCAATCTGGTGTACCCCTGGGTAGCCTTGAACTCAAGAGTTCCATCTATCTATTAATCCTGAGTCCTAGGATTAAAGGTGTGTACCACCACCTCCTACGTTCTGGCTGCTGGGATTAAATATGTATATCACCACTGTCTGATCTCTATAGTTTGAGACTGACTTTACTTTTCTGAATCCTCAGGCAAGCTTTAATAAATCATTAATAATAAACCACTACACTAAAGCAGCCACCAAATAGTGACCGTCACCCTCCCTGCTACATTTAAGAGACTAGTCCAGGGATGGCCAGTGGGCAGATGTACTGGCAGCCACCTGGACCACCACTTTATCAATAGTGTTTCTCACAGGTGATAAGCTATCCTGATTTCATACTTCAATACCATGAGGTGGGATAATACAAATTCATCTCTAAGAGGAGCTATGCTCTTAATTATTAACAAAACCCCAGCTTTCCAGGGTACTTTGGATCTAGCACCACTACTGGTAAATTCATGAGATGGTAAGGACATCTTGCTGAAGACCTATGGGGCACAGCATCCTCTCTGTGCCATCAAAGTCACATTATGTCTCAAATTCCAAACATCTTAGCAAGAGAAATGCAGCTAGGGATAAAGCCAGATTTTAGATAATTTCCATAGTCAAACAGACTGTGCTAAGGACCAACGAGAACATGTTCCTAGTTAAACCTTTCGTGACTAGAAAGGAAAAGGAAATGCATACATGCATTAAGTATGTATGCTACCTATCTTGAGGTCTTCATCAGAGCTGGCTGGAACCCTCTCTGATGGGCAACCACATCTCCCTGTGTTACACTAAGAGACCTGTCTGTAGGGTGGCCTGGGGTTCTTTACAGGCCTGTTCTTCTTAGGCAGCTGCACAGATTACAATCCCACGGCCTCACCCTGCTTGGCTGTTAAAATAAAACAGTGTGACTTGAGTTCTCCTGCTTCTGGAGGCTTTCTGGAAATCTCAGATTGGGATCCAAGGTTAGCCTCTTGTTAGGGGCCCTCATACTAGTTATACCCCCAATGGCTTTTCCTTGGTACATGTATACACACACAAACACACACAGAGAGAGAGAGGGAGAGAGAGAGAGAGAGAGAGAGAGAGAGATCTAAAATCCAGATTTTACATCTCTTGTCCTTTTTATGACTACTAATCCCGACAAGAAAGCTGTATCCTCATGTCCTCACCTTAACCCAAATGTCTCAAAGAGGTGGGGTACTTGTGCCCCACCTCCAAGTTCCATCACATTGTGGACTAAGGCTTCAACGCATATAGCAAATGTGGACAGCAGGCAAACAATTCTCTGTGAGGTAAGAATTTTAGCCTCCTTGTTTTTAAAACTATTTATTTATGGGGCAGGGCATAGGTATGGAGGTTAGAGGACAACTTGTGGGAACTGGTGTTCTTTGATTCCATCATGGGGGCCCCAGGGGTGGAACTGGGTCATCAGACTTGTCAGCAGGCACCTGGACCCACTAACCCAGCTCACAAAGACCATTAAACTGCCCAGAAGCACACACCAGGTAGAACTGTTAGGGGTGTGAGCCCCTGTGTTCATCAGCAACACCCTCAGGTTGGCAGTTTCTTTCATGCCCGGATAGACACAACACACACAAATGAATCATGCAGGTGCCTCTTGTGGCCTCTGCCTCTCCTACACCTTCTTGCCCCTCTCCTTGGGACTAGTTCAAATGCCTGCCTGGAGACCTGCTCTCTTCCCCTCAGTTGGCAAGAAGCCATCAGCATTCTGGGCCAGCTAGACAACCCCATATGGACTTGAGAACTTCATTTCGGGAAACTTAAATGGAATAGGTAATCATGTTTTATAAAAATCCTTTGTAAATCTGGCCTTTGAACACTGCTTTCCTGAGAGCTGTTTATGGAGACACTGCCTGGAAATTCTCACTGCATTAAAAGAACCTATGATCACGAAATGACTGCAGTGTGGGAAGTAGGAAGGAATTTTTTTAAAAAAAAAAAAATACACAAGTAGCACTCATCTACAGGGTGTGGAGAGGCTTGACTTAAAGAAATTTAAAACCTGGCTGGGTGGTGGTGGTGATGCATGCATTTAATCCCAGCCATTGGGAGACAAACCCAGGCAGATGCCTGTGACTTCAAGGCCAGTCTGGTCTAAAGAGCAAATTCCAGAACATCCAGGAATACATAGGGAGACCCTGACTTAAATAAATAAATAACCCTACAGTGGATGGGGTGAAGTTTGAAAACTCCAAACCTTCTTCTCTATGACATTTCTGTGAATCTAAAATTGCTCTAAATAACTTTTTAAGATTGTATTTGTAATTGTGTATATGTCTGTGTATGGGTACACGCATGAAAGTGCAGGTGGAGTCAAAGACAGCTGGGAGCTTCCCAGTGTAGGCTCTGGGAGCCTGAGAGCAGTGTGTAGTCTTAACCACTGTGCTACCGCACCAGCCTTAACATTTTTCAGAGCTCTCCCTGAGAACTAGAGAGCTATGAATAATGATAAACTAATATCCCTAAACTGCAGTACATGGAATTTGTTCAAAGACAAGCCACATAGCCTCAAAGAGAAAAGTGTGACTAATAATCATTAGACCTCCCCACTCCTAATCCTACTTCTTGAGACTAAATCTGGCCCAGTTAAGAAATAATCACTTACCCCTTCTAAGCTTAAGTGTCCTCCATAAAACTGATAACACAGAAGAAAGCTCAAGGGCAAAACTTCTTGTTTCTGTGAGGAAAAAAAAAATACAAAGGGGTTAGGACACCTCTCTGTATTCAAGACAGATCTCCTACTTCGTCCTCTGCTTGTCAGCCAAGTGACCAGAGGCTTGTGGACAGGCTCTCTCCACATTTCCCTAGCTCATATAAAACATGGGAGGATGGAACATGCTTACTTCATAATGACGTTGTAAGAATTTAATGAGAAGGCACACCCAAACACCTGCCATATTTCCAGAGCTATAGTATTTGCTGTCTATCGCCGTGATGCTTGTGTTATCAGATATAGCCCAGATATAATCATAATCATACCCCTGCTGAATTAATAATAATTTCCACAAGTAAATAATACTTTATTAATTAGAAACACGATGACTTTCCAAAAGAAAGTCCCAGGTGGTGCTCAGGAAGGTGCCAAGGGACTTATTGTACTATTCTTTAGGGAACTGTGAGACTCCCCTATTCCCAGAGGCACTCTTGTATTGAATCAAGACATTGATATGGGAAATGACAGGGAAATCTGTGGAAAGCAAATTCAGGCATTATTTTAGTGTACCCTCACACACCTTTCCTTCCTAGAAATCTGCTCTAGAGTTTGTTTTTATTTTCTCTTCCCCCTCAATGCAGCAATTGTGCTCTGAGCACCTGCCACTTTTAAGCACAGGCTTAGACACCCACCAGCCTTCAATGTCTGCAATCTGTTTTTCAAATACACTATCCCCTCCAGACTCCAGAGAAGAGTAATACATGAAACAAGACTGGTAAAACATTGAGATGGGTCAGTGATATTAACCTGGGGTCCATTGTCTTTCCACTTCTGTACTTTTTAAACTTTCCATAATAACAAAAATAATCTAAGGTAGATGAGCTATAACCAGTATCAAAATGGCACAAATATCCATTCTTAGTAGATGTCTTAGTAACCCACATCTCCATGTGTCCATGGCAGATGTGGTGGGTACCAAATTTATATACTAAGTGCTTGTTGCACCAGACAGAAAGGATGTAGTGCACTCAGCAGTTGATGAACACTAAAGTCTGAGTCTCAATACCTCTGAGGCTATCCACATGTGCGACAGACAGGGTATGTGACTGAGGGGCACATGGCCATGGGCATGTGGCCCTGGACACTGGTCCTGCTGCTTGAGACTCTCTGGGGCAGCAGAGGAAGAGCTGATGTCCCATCAGAACTCCAAGAGACTGGCAAATATATATATATTCCCACTTCCCTTAGGTCTCAATTACAACTTCCTAGGGAGCTTCTGGATGACCTATGCCTATGACACCTCTGACGTAAGAATGGGATAGAAATGATAACAACCGTTACTATGTAGGAGTCAGCAAGACAGCTTGTCAAGTAAGGTCACCTGTCACCGAGATCACCAGGCTGAATTTGATCTCTAGAACTCATATGGTAGAAGGGCAGAACCCACTCCCACAAGCTATCCTCTGACTTCCACACATGTGCAGAGGTGGCTTGCACAAACACACATACCACCACCACCACAACAACAACAACAACAACAAATAAATATTAAAATTTTAAGTCACTTCAAATTCCAAACTGGAAACATTTAATACTTTTTAATGTGGTCCTGTATTTTAACATACAGGATAAAATGAATTTCTGTGAGTACATATTTATATAAGTGATCAAATAAAGAAAGGGATAGGAGACAAAAGGTAGCTCTTTCTCACAGTAAATTTCCAATTTAGGAGCCAAGAAGAAAACAAAAATCACCACTAAGCAAATACTACAGCCATCATTGCTTCCATCCAATTTCACCAATGGGCATTAAAATTAATGGATGGAAATTTGAGGATGAAGTTTTGTCCTCTGCTTAGTTTCAAAGACTCTCTGTCAAGTGCTAATCACAACACTTAACAGAGGAACTGATGTCATCTTAGAGGCCATTACATCACCAGGTGAGGCCTGCCCACCTTGCAAACCTGCCAATAGTACTGATACATAAAGGCCATCAACAGTATTGAAAGATGAAGTCTAGATAGTATTGATAAGAGATTTTGTGGCTGTGTAAAGGGATTACCATATTAGAAGCTAAGCGAACTTTATCATTTTCAAAACGTTTAAGCAATTTAAATTGAAATATTATAAAATGGGGGAAAAACATAAAGTCAGAACCTGAGTATAGCCCCAATTAACTGAATTCTCAAAAAAAAAAAAAAATCCCAACTCTGTGTACTCCTGATGTCTCAAATCAACCTAACACGTAACTTCCTAAGATACTCTATATGAATAAGAACATGACATAAGTCAAGCCTACTGAAGAAAGAGAAGCTATCTTTAAAAAGAGAGAAAGAAGCCAGGTGGTGATGGCACAATCCTTTAATCCCAGCACTTGGGAGGCAGAGGCAGACAGATCTCTGAGTTTGAGTCTAACCTAGTGTAAATCATGAGTTCCAGAGGCACCCAGGTGACACAGAGAAACCAGAAAAAGAGGGACAGAGAGAGAGAGAGAGAGAGAGAGAGAGAGAGAGAGAGAGAGAGAGAGAGAGTGGGAAAACCAAGATTAACAGGGAAGAAAATGGATTAAACAGATACAAAGCAAAGTTTCATCTTAGGAGAAGTGTAACCGATGAAAAGGCTCACCTTAGCACCCTTCAATTTACTGTTCTAAAACAGCTCTGGGTCACGCCTACCACTTCCTCCCCTCCACTACTGACTACTCAAAAGGGAAGGGCCACCACTCAGCCCACACCTTCTGTGAACCCAGACGTGTTGTATGTGCTCCTCCTAGCTTCCTGTCAGAAAGTGTGTGTCCTTGAGATAATCAACTTAGAAAAGAGCTATTTTGGCTCCCAGTTTGACATGTTTCAACTCATGATTGAATGGCCTCACTGTTTCTGGGCTGTGGTGAGGCAACATTACCATGGTAGGTGGCACGTAGGAAGCAAAAGTTCTGATCTTGGAGCCAAAAGTAAGAGAAAGAGGAAGGGGCAAAGATGGTCTGCCCCCTTCACAAGCATGCTGGTGGCTCTGCAACACCTATTCTATAACAAAAGTTGTCCTAAAACAGTCCAGAAACATGAAGTCAACTGAACTAGGAAATGGCTGAAGTTGTTTTACATAACATATGCTTGCAGAAGTCACAAGAATTCCCGGTGGGACTTTTCGGTAGAACCTCAGTGAGTATTTCTATGTCAATTTCAGCTCTCTGAGAATTCTTCAGTACAATAAGAAGAAGTCTACCTTCTGGTTGTAGAAGAACATGGGCCACTAAATCAACTAAGCAGGGACCACAGGGGCTCACAAGCAACAAACATGGCCCCTGTCTGGGTCTGAGCTAGGTCCTCTGCATCTTCCTTATGGCTATGTAGCTTGGTGTCAATGGGACTTCTAACAGTAGGAGTAGAAGGGGGCTGTCTCTGACTCTTGTGCTTGTACTTGGGACCCTTTTCCTCCCACTGGGTTGTCATATCCAGCCGTGACACAAGGGTTTGTGCCCAGTCTTACTGTAACTTGTTAGGCCATGTTGGGTGGATATCCTTGGGAGGCCTGTTTTGTTTTTAAGAGAAGCAGGAGGAGTTGATATGGGGAGAGGGAGGAGATAGGAGGACAGGGAGGGTGGAGAGAGGGGGAACTTCAGTGAGGATGTAATGTATGAAAGAAGAGTAAAAGTTAAAGAAAAAACAAGCCCACCTTCTGCTGTCACTACAGGTCAGGTCTACCCATGGCCCTAAGAGCTGAGAATCTCTAAGATAATGTGAAAAAAAAACAAAAAACAAACAAACAAAAAGCAGGCCTCTGCTGTTCAAAGTTCAACTTCTTAACAAGTGTGTGAATGTTTGCAGATGAGTGGTCTGCATTTCCTGACTCTCTGCCATTTATTTAAGAGCATTTCTCATGCTCTTAAATGTGTATTGATTGGCTCTCCAGAGGAGCAGACAAAGTGGAAGACTTCCGAATTTCACTCCAAAGCTGGCAGATTCTAGCAGCCGAGTACGAGACCTGGACTGAAACTTAAACAAGAGAGGACTCTTCCATGCAGCGAAGTGTGAGATCCAGTGAAGGAAAATGGACCAGGGACAGAAGAGAACCCTGAGACATATCACTTTTCCTTCTGGGGAGGGATATCAGTAAGAAGATAGGTGCAAATTAAGATTTTTAAAGTGCATTTTACTATATATAAAACTCTTGATTCCATCATTTAGTGTATGATCAGAGGAGACTGTGATATGGGCATCAACATTGCTAAAACAATAAAACCTTGAAATGTACTCAAAAGTTAATACCAGGAATCTGATTTAATTGATATAGTACATCCTAGAGCATATGCTTTTATTAAAAGGGTATATAAGAGACTGAACAGAGCCAGGTGGTAGTGGCACACATCTTTAATCCCAGCACTCAGGAGGCAGAGGCAGGCAGATCTCTGTGAGTTCAAGGCCAGCCTGGTCTACAGAGTGAGTTCCAGGGCAAAAATATAAAAACAAATAAAAAACAAATAAAAAATATCAAAAAATAAAAACAAAAAAGAAAGAGAGAGAAAGAGACTGGAGAGAGAGAGAGACTGGAGAGACTGGAGAGACAGTCTGTAAAGTGTTTACCACACAAGAACCTGATGCTGATTCATAGAATCCACCCAAAAGAGGCAGGCATGGTGACACTGGCTTTTAACCCCAATAACACAAGTGGCTGTCCCCTGGCCTCCTCATGCAAGTGTGCACATAAGCATACACACCCCAAAAATGGATGTTTAAAAGACCCTAACTATGGCCTAAGGGCTCACAGTAGCCAAGTAGGAAAAAAATAACGTAAAAACATATATAAAACACAATCCCAATTATGCAATATATGTGTGTGTGCATAAATTCTACCTGAACAAAACAGCAGAAATTGTCACTAAGACAAATTTGAGAAAGTTGTATTTCTAATTCAGGGGTGGGGGTGACTCATTACCAGAAACAATGCCATTGCTTTCTAGTAAAAATAGCTAACTTCCATTACAATAATCTAAAAGATTAAAATGACATCATTATAGACAGGTAACTTTATAGACAGTAACATCCAGTTACATATAGTGGCAACTTGATCATGTAAATTTTAAGAGGGCCTGTTCTAAATATGACCTACAAACTTCTATACACACACACACACACACACACACACACACACACACACACACACACAAGCTGTCAGTGAACTTCAACACTAGCCAGAGACCTGTAACACCATGTACTCTTCTTAAAATACCTATTCCTGGGTCCACACCCACAGATTTTGTTTCAATGGGCTGGGGCATAGCCAAGAAATGTACTTTAAACAGGAACCTGGGCAATTCTGACACATACCATTGTTCACAAAAGGTTAAAGGAAAGAAAAAATTAAGAAAGAAAAGAAAACCAGGAGTCACCTGGTTCATGATTATACTACGAGCACTGGGAAGACCGAAGCAAGAGGTCTTCCCAAGTCCCATGCCAATCTGGACTGCATTTGTGAGTTCCAGGCCAGGACTGACTTGCTTTGGATGTCCCCACTGTAGATGAAAGGTCTCCAAGAGACATTTGATGGTTGGTTTCCAAGGCATTTGCACTCATCTCTGGATAAAGCACACACTATGACTAGCCCAATCAAGTGGCTGCCTACCTACATATTCTTCCTCAAACAGTTCCGCATGGTCAGCTATTCTGTTTGAGATGTTTTTAACCCTTAAAACTGGACCTCTCTCTAATGCAGCCAGTACACAAACGTGTGTGCTATCTCATGGAGTTTTCAGAGTCCACAAAGCCCAAACCTGTTCTTTTAAACTAACTTTTAAAAAGGAAGAAAAGAAAACCAACCAACGTGTCCACATTTCCGCACTCTCTGGCAGGGTGTTGGAACAGCCTTCCACACCCTATCCTGAATTCCACTTGCTTAACCTGAACCACATCTCAGATTCCTTGAGTTTCTTACATCTTCAGAAGATTGATTTTACACACACACACACACCACACCACACCACACCACACCAGCTAATTGTTTGTTAAAATGAGACAGAGAGGCCTTTTCTTAACTCTCAAATTACCTTCTTTCTGGGGTTTCACCACCAAACCAGTGGGGAGATCAGCCAGAGCAGCTTCCAGGACTTCATATCTCGCCCACCTCCCTACACTTAGCAACCACAGGTGCCCTCAGAGTCATAATCACGCCCCCCAAAGGCTCTCACTAGGTACTTATCACTCTCACCCTGAACCCCAAACCAAGAGTTAGTCACCTTTGTCTTAGAAAGCCAGAACATCAAGAGATAAGGATCCACAGACCCCAAAGGGATCAGGTGCTGGACCTATGGCAGGTGTCTGAAGTCCTTCAAATCCCCTGTGACAACCTCCTGCTGAGGACGCCCAGCGCTCGCCCTGCGCTCCCCCGGCGCTCTCAGGCGCGGAAGTACAGCTCAGCTGAGCCGCCTCCCCAGGTGAAACCCTGTCTAATCCGGGCCCACGAAGATGGGCCTTTTCCAGGTGGAGGATGCCAGCACGGGGACGCGGGACGCTGTGGATGCTCCCTGCATCTCCCCGCTGCGCCCAGCATCTCCCCTGCCCTGCGCACTGGGGCGCCCGCACCCGAGCCGGATGCCCGAGCCCGAGCCCAAGCCCCGCCGAGGTGGGGCCTCTGCAGGCCCCCAGCCCGCGGGCCTCTCGCCAGGCAGGACAGCCGCACCGAGGCCTGACCGCGCAGACTCCGCGCCCGCCCGGCCCCATCCCGTGGACCCACCAGGCCCGCAGCCCGGCGATGACCGCTCGGAGCGCGCAGCCGCGGAGCTCGGGCCCCGCGTACTCACCCCGGACGCGGCCACCGCGAGGCCGCCCGGGGAAGGGGAGGTGGTGAGGAGCAATCCCCGGGATGTCCCTGGTGGACTGCGCCGCCGGGAGGCGGCTCTACAGCCCCGGCTCCGCCTCGCACGCAATGCCATAGCGGGGCGCGCCTGCTCTGTTCTCCAGGGACTTGGCGCCACCAACCGGCGGGGCCAGCCGCACAGGGAACTGCAGGGGCTTGAGAAAAAGAAGGGTTGCACAATTCAGCCTTTGCGGGATCACAAACCTTTCTGAGGTTAGCGAACTAGGCCCCTGGTGCTTCTCAGTTTCCATCCTCGCGGACGTCACCGGAACCTGGAAAAAAGAGATCGAAACCTCCCGCTTTACACATCAGCAAAACGGCGCTTTGGACTCGCAGGAATGTGCAAGCCTTTTGCTTCTCTGGGCGACACGGAATGACGAGTGGCCTGCAGTTCCGTGTTTATTTTGCGTGACATTACCAGGCGACATTGTCATCTACAAAGTTCACGACCGAGAAATCGCGTACCAAAAATAAAAACAAACAAACCTCTCACCCTTCACAGTGTTTTAAGTAAGTTTACAATTTTGTGTTGGGCTGAATCGTAACTATCTGGGCCAAGGGTTGGACATACACTTAAGCAACTCTAAAGTCCTGACAAGTTGCAGCCTTCTCAGCCATGCATTGTACCAAATTGAAGACAGGATGATGTTTATGCTTTTTTTAAAAAATCTATTTGAAATAATAGCAGGTGCTTAGGTACACAGGACAACAGACTACATGCTATCAGCAATCTCAGAGAAATTATATAAAAACCACCCCGTCCAGCTCACACTAAAACCGTGATTCTCAACCTGTGGGTCGCGACCCTTTCACAAGTTTCACATACCAGGTATTTACATTATGATTGCTAACAGTAGCAACATTATAGTTATTAAGTAGCAACAAAATCATTTTATGATTGGGGGTCACACAGTTATTAAAGGGTCACACACAGCATTAGGAAGGCTGAGAACCACTGCTCTAAAGGGGCAAACTATGAAGCAGCCCTCAGGCTTTAAACCAGGTCTCAGACCATTCTGGTACCACATGTCCTCCTCATCACACTGCTCTGGCAGTGAAATCTGGAGCCTGAGCCTCCCACCACTAGGCAGAGGATTCTGAAGAGAACTGAAGAGGTCCTAGGACTACTAACTAGGCTCTGGGCAGAAGCAATGGAAACTCCCTGTACAGGACCAGTCTCCATTTGGTCCCATGGGTACAAGGTAACAATTTTTAATTTTCCATTTGTTTAAATATTTACTTATTGTGTGATGCTGAGGACAGGAGCCAAGGGTTGGGCTTCCTGAGGCAAACTACACACTACCATCACCACTCCCAGCGCCTCCACACAGGCACACCTTGAGTTCAAAATCATTTGAAGATCTTTACACCAGTTAGATTTCTGTCAACCTGACATAAACTAGAGTCATCTGGAAAGAGGGAACTTCAATTGAGGAATTGTCTCCATCAGACTGCCTGTGGGTACGTCTGTGGATTCATTTTCCCCATTACTAGTTGGTGTGCGCTAGCCACCATACAGTAAGTGGTCCAATCCCTGGGCAGGTGGTCCTGGGTTAAATAAGAAGGTAAAGTGAGCAAGCCAGCAAAGAGTTCCTTCATAGTCTCTGCCTTGACTTCCCTCAATGATAGACTGTAACATGTAATAGTAAATAAAAACCTTCTCCCCCCCCCCTTATTTTTGGTCATGGTGTTTATCACAACAACAGAAAACAAATTAGAACAATCACCTAGCAAAGGGACCACCTGTGAGTGATAGCAAAGCAATGCCCCATAGAATTAGCCTCCCAAAGAGATGTTAAAAGAAAAGCTTTTAACAAATTGGCTTTAATGGACTTTGAACAGCTGGCGATCCATGAATTGGGCTTTCATCACACCAAAGGAGTATAGGGCCCTGCAGATTTTTGTTAACTTGACAAAAGCCAGATTCATCTGAAGACAGAACCTCAACTGACAGAATGCCTGTGTCAGGTTAGCCTGTGATGCCTTTCCTTCCTTAATTAATGTGGGATGGTCCAATCACTGAGGAGGATGCCAACCATAGGCAGGTGGCCCTGAACTATATGAAAAAGCAGGTGGAGCAAGCCAGTAAACAGCATTCCTCCACAGTCTTCCTTCTGCCCCTGCCTTGGGCTCCTGCCTTGACTTCCCTTTATGATGGATTGCAACTGTAAGATGAAAATAAACCCTTCCTTTCACAAGTTGCTTTGGGTCAGTGTTTTGTTACAGCAATAGGAAGCAGACTAAGGCAGAGGTTGGTGCCCATGGTGGGATTTTTGCTGTGACAGAATGTTGTTTTGGGGAGGGTCAGCAAGAATGGGAGGAAAAAAGAAAACAATAGACCAGAGGATTAGAGAAAACAGTTCTGGTCCTTTGCATTGGGCTGGAAATAGTTTGGGTTTTCATTACCAGAGTAGAAAAATGCATCGTCTACAAGACATGGGGCAGAGCACACAAAGAAGTCTTGCTTGCCTTTGCACTGGTCTGGAAATAGTGTGAGTTTCCATTACCAGAGAAGAAAAACAAAGAAGTCATGCCTGCCTTGGTAGAAAATTAACTTACCCTGAGCACTGTTCCAAACTTGCCTAACAAGACCCAAAGGAGCAAATTGTAACCAATGAATCAAGAACATTCTTAGAAATGTAAATATACTCAACATCCAACCAACAGGATAAAATTCATAATGCCTGACATCCAAAATGGTCAGATCTACAGAGAGGCAGCAAACAACCACTGTCCAGAATGATCAACTGAAGGTGATCTAGAACTGGAATTGATATTAGAATGAGCAGAGATGGGCGTTAAGACAGCTAGGTATATTCCCAACATTGGGAGCAGCAAGATGGATGTGATTTTGAAGCAAGCCTTGACTTTATAGATTATGTCTCAGGAAACAACAAGCCATGTATGGTGTCGCATGCTTAGAATATTAGAAGTTGAGAGCTAGAGACACGAGGATGTGGAGTTCAAAATAATCTAAAACTACATGGGAAAGTAGAGGTCACCCTGGTATATAAGTCCTTATCTCAAAGGGGGGAAGGATTTTTTTTTAAAGACTAACTGGACTTATAGAAAAGAAAGATAATCTGTATGACAATAACAGGTCAGAGGGGAGAATTAGAAGTATACTCTTATAAGGTTCTTTTTAAATTGTACTTTATGTGTATGAAAGTCTTGTCTGCATGTGTGTATGTGCACCACAGGCATTCGTGGTGCCTACAGAGGTCAGGAGAGGGCATTTGATTTGGAAATGAACTTACAAATGATTTTGAGCCATCTCCTGAGTGATGGGAACAGAAGCTGAGTCTTCTCAAGAGCATCAAATTCTTTTATCAACTAAACCACCCTATTGTAAGGCTACATAATATGTAGCAAAATTCCTACACTATCTGTGTATAATATTTTCAGATAGAATGTGATGGATAATAATAAAAGCTTTTGGGCAGCCACTAAAGTGACAAAATGACTACTGGTGGTTGGGTCAGGATCAAGAGTTTCCAAGTTCTTGGCCTTTTATTCAAAGAGTTGAAATCAAAGCCCACATAGATTTGCAAAAGTAGCAAAGAACACTTATTTAAAGCAAAATAATAGAAAAGATCGGAAGACACTGCATGGTTGCAGTAGCCACACAAATCAAGATACTAAAGGGCCTGTTATTGTTCGGGACTTCCTTTTCTGGAGTTCAGTAAAAGGGTGACTTTAGTTACTAAGGATATAGTGAAAGTGGTTATCTCTACTAATTGATAGATTACATTATATAATCATTTTTCTGTAGTATGTGCCCATTCCCATGATGCATCTGATTTTAATCATATGCATGCCCAAGTATGCATAGGTATAGGATGGCAAGTAGGGGAGTCTCCCCAAAAGTTCGCTTGAGGATAGGGTTTTATTTAATTGTGAATGAACCCAAAACCAGTTCCAGCCAGATCTTTCTTTACATCCTTTGTACACAGATACATTGGAAATGTATGAATAGAAACTATCTTTCAGGATCCAAGTGCAGAGAATAATGGGACTCTGGATCATGAATTCACTCTCAAGGCTTGGGACCATTGATGAAGAGGGAGCAGAAAGACTATAAGAGCCAGAAGATTGGGGGAACAAGAGCAAAACTATCTTCTAGACATGACAGGACCTCTGCATTCGTGAACCTCCAACAGTTGTAGTTATCTACACAAAGCCTACACAAGATCAAGACAGTCGACATTATAACATGGACAGGTTTCTTCATGAGCTCCCACCACTTACCAAGAAACCATTAACACTTGATGACCTCTAGGGGATGGAGAGACATTTTTACTTAAGAATGTGGCCTTGTGCACAGTTGGCCATGCCTTCATGGATAGACCCTGGAGTGTGTGGACTTCGATTGAGAGAGAGACAGAAAGAGAAGAGCAGCTAGGTGTGGTAATGCATGCCCTTAATCCCAGCACTGGGGAGGCAGAGGCAGGCAGATTTCTGTGAGTTCAAGGCCAGCTTGGTCTATATAGTGAGTTTCAGGAAAGCCAGGGCTAACATATCGAGACCCCATTTCAAAAAAAAAGGAAGAAAAAAGAGAGAGAAGGATGAAGACATTAAGTTGACAGTGAGTAGGAAGCTCAGGAGATAGATAGATAGATCCAGGGGGGCAGATCTACTATACACTGTAGAGACATATACCTACTATACAAGGTGAGACAGAAACTCTGCCTGAAAGTATACTCTAAATGTAACTATAAAGCTGGTATGGCAACAAATTAAATGGTTTTTATGGGAAAAGATAAACCACTAATATAAACCAAAATGAACACAAAGAAATGGCAAGATTGCACAGCTTGCTGTCAAGACTGAACATCTGAGTTCAATTCCTGGAACCCACATGGAAGAAGAAAAGAACTGACTTCTGCAAGTTGCCCTCTGGCTTCAACAGACATTCTGTGCCCCTTCCCTCAACACCCCACCACCCCACCCAATACAAACATATAAATGTAATTTAAAGTTTTAAAAATGAAACAGGGACTGTGGTTCAACAGCAGATTATGTGCTTAGCATGCACAAGTCCC